ATGCTTGTGGACTGGTTTGGTGATCCATTGGGTGTCAGGATTTCTTCTGATAGCTTTATGGAATGGATCAATGGGGATAACCTCAAAAAACTTGTATGTGGAATCTTCACCAACCCAGTAAGAATTCAGGACTCTTAGAGCCCCACAGGGGCATCCGGCTCGCTCCTTTGCAACGGACTGAAGACTTTGAGCAAACCTTTAGCTGGTTAACACCATGATGGACAGGCTTGCTGTAAGTTGCACCCTTAGGAACTGGGTGTTTTCAGCCACCATGGCGAACATGAATCCTATATATAACGTAAACTTGCTTGGCCTTGTAGCCCAGTTGGCACGCTTTATCAGGCCGAGTGGAGTGGGGAGCGCTGTGGAGAGCAGAGAGCTGGCAGTACTGCCAGCAACCTCCTCTTAGAAGAAAGCGCGTGACATTAGACTGCTTTTCTCCATAGCTCCTGGATTTAGTTGTATGCACCCATCTTGGCTTACCTGATGGCTGCCACTAGACGGAAAGGGTGCAGATTCTTTATTAAAATCACATTATGGGTTTATTAATCCCTTACTTGTAGTTATGGTTGTTTTTTGCCTGTTAAACATCAGCATTCTCGTATAATTTCCATTCTTTTGCTCATAAAAATATGATGTGTAAAAAATACTGATTTTTTTCAAAAAGTTCTTGCTTTTCTTGAACCCTATGTTCATCATCAACCCTCTTTTCTCCTACTATTTGGTTCTTCAACCTTATTTTCTCCTGTTTGGTTCTTAGAAACCTCAAGTAAGCTTACTGTTGTTACCCTAATTAAATACCTTTTTTTTTTTTTTTTTTTGAGGGGGACGGAGTCTCGCTGCAGACCAGTGCAGGCTGGAGTGCAGTGGCACGATCTCAGCTCACTGCAAGCTCCGCCTCCTTGGTTTGCGCCGTTCTACTGCCTCAGGCTCCCGAGTAGCTGGGACAACAGGCACCTACCATCACGCCTGGCTAATTTTTTTTGTATTTTTAGTAGAGACAGGGTTTCACTGTGTTACCCAGGATGGTCTCGATCTCCTGACCTCGTGATCCGCCTGCCTCGGCCTCCCAAAGTGCTGGGATTACAGGCGTGTAATCCCACGGCCATGAAATACCATTTTAAGTAAGTTATATAGAAAAGACTGCATAAATATATTCTCTTTACAAAAATAAAAAACTTTCATGTCACCTTAAGAATTCACTGAGGCTGGGCGCAGTGGCTCACGCCCGTAATCCCAGCACTTTGGGAGGTAGAGGCTGAGGTGGGTGGATCATGAAGTCAGGAGATCGAGACCATCCTGGCTAACACGGTGAAACCCTGTCTCTACTAAAAATACAAAAAAAGTTAGCTGGGCATGGTGGCGGGTGCCTGTAGTCCCAGCTATTCGGGAGGCTGAGGCAGGAGAATGGGGTGAACCCGGGAGGTGGAGCTTGCAGTGAGCCAAGATGGCACCTCTGCACTCCAACCTGGGCGACAGAGCAAGACTCGGTCTCAAAATAATTTACTAAATCTAAACTCCTTTTAAAAATTGCTGAGGACTGGTCGGGTGCGGTGGCTCACGCCCTTAATCTGAGCACTTTGGGTGGCTGAAGCAGGCGGATCACCTGAGGTCAGAAGTTCCAGACCAGCCTGGCCAACACGGAGAAACCCCGTCTCTACTAAATATACAAAAATCAGCCGAGCGTGTTGGCCAGCACCTGTAATCCCAGCTACTTGGGAGGCTGAGGCTGGAGAATTGCTTAAAAACCCGGGAGGCAGAGGTTGCGCTGAGCCAAGATGGTGCCATTGCATTTCAGCCTGGCGAGTGAAATCCCATCTCAAAAAAAAAAAAAAAAAGGCTGAGGATTGCCGGCTGTGGTGGCTCACACCTGTAATCCTAACACTTTGAGAGACCAAGGTGACCAGGGTTTGAGGCCAGGAATTTGAGACCAGCCTGGGCAACATAGTGAAACCCCATCTCAATTTAAAAAAAAAAAAAAAAGCTAAGGAATGGTCCTAAATATAGCTGACATAGTTAATTTAGATATTTACCTATTGATCATCTTGATTTTTTTTCATTTTTGTATTTAGGTGAGGAAACTGAACATTTTTATACATCTTATATCCATGTGTGCCTTTCTCTAGGGTAGATGCTGAGAAGTAGAATTGTTAGGTTATAGAGCATTTTTTTTTAGTTTACAAGTTGCTTTTTATTTATTTATTTTTAAAATTTTTAAATTTTTATTTTTATTTTTTATTTGTGCTAGGATTACAGGCGTGAGCCACCGTGCTGGCCTTTACAAGTTGCTTTTTAAAGTAACTGTACAAATTGATACTCCCACTATTAGAATTTGAGAATTGTCTTCTTTCACATTTTTTTTTTTTTTGAGACAGAGTCTCACTGTTTCACCGAGTCTGGAGTGCAGTGTCACTGTGTCAGCTCACTGCAACCTCCGTCTCCTGGGTTCAAGCAATTCTCCTGCCTCAGCCTCCCGAGTAGCAGGGATTACAGGCGTCCACCACCACGCCCGGCTAGTTTTTATATTTTTACTAGAGACGGGATTTCACCATGTTGGCCAGGCTGGTCTTGAACTCCTGACCTCAGGTGATCCGCCTGCCTTGGCCTCCTAAAGTGCTGGAAGTACAGGTGTGAGCCACTGCGCCCGGGCCTCCTTTAACATTTTTAAAAGCACTAATTTTTACTACATTTGCCCTTAAATATGATAAAATGTGAAATATTGATATCATCAGTGCATTTTCTTAGTTAAAATTTTGCCAAAAGGTTATGGTCATAAGAATTAAACTGAGTGAAATAGGCTCTGTTATGTTGTAGCTTTTGTTTAAAGTATCCTAGCCCTTAAAAGTATATTGTTTTCCTTATCTGTTTATAGTTATTTCCTTGTAGGTCCCAGGATTTAAAAATAACATTTTATTATTTATTTGTTTTTATTTTGTTTATTTATTTTTTTGAGATGGAGTCTCGCGCTCTTCCTCAGGCTGGAGTGCAGTGGCACGATCTTGGCTCACTGCAACCTCTGCCTCCTGGGTTCAAGCGATTCTCATGCCTCAGCCTCCAGGCACAGCCCCTGTGCCTGGCTTGTTTCTTACTTAGAAACAAAAAACAGATTTCATCTGTATGAATATACATGTTTTAGGCTGGGTGCGGTGGCTCACGCCTGTAATCCCAGCACTTTGGGAGGCTGAGGCAGGCAGATCACAAGATCAGAGATCCAGATTATCCTGGCTAACACAGTGAAGCCCCATCTCTACTAAAAATATGAAAGATTAGTCGGGCGTGGTGGCATATGCCTATCGTCCCAGCTACTCAGGAGGCTGAGGCAGGAGAATCGCTTGAACCTGGGAGGCAGAGGTTGCAGTGAGCCAAGATTGCACCACTATACTCCAGCCTGGGTGACAGAATAAGACTCTGTCTCAAAAAAAAAAAAAAAAAAAAAAGATATACATATTTTTTAATGTGAAAAAATTTTTAATTTAAAACAATTTCCTAAATTGGCTTGCTATTTCAGTCTTAGGTGTTCTCTAATGACATGCAGTGTGATTTCCTCCATGTTAAAACAATGAGAAAATGAAAAATTTCCATTCTTAGACTTCTTTTACCTGTAATCTGTATGTATATATAATTTTTTTTTTTTTTTTTTGTATCAGAGTCTCACTCATTTTGACCAGGCTGGTCTTGAACTTCTGGCCTCAAGAGATCTGCCTGCCTTGGCCTCCCAAAACTGTTGGGATTACAGGCGTGAGCCACTGAGCCTGGCCTGTGTATGTAAAATTATATTTAAAACCTGGTGGACTTCTTTCCATGTCAATACATACACAGCTTTGTCTGATTTCTAAAAGTTATATAGTATTTTGTGTATTAATACGTAGAGGCTAAATAGGATTATCAACAAAGTTGCACTGAACATCCTATATAGACATCTTTGTACCTTTTCTTGATTCCCAGATAATTTCCCGAAAGTGGAATTCTTTTATTAAAAGGATATATACATTTTAGATGACAGATTACCCTTGAAAGATATACTACCTTGGCTGGGCGCCGTGGCTCATGCCTGTAATCCCGGCACTTTGGGAGGCCGAGGTGGGCGGATTACTTGAGGTCAGGAGTTTGAGACCAGCCTGGCTAACATGGTGAAACCCTGTCTCTCCTAAAAATCCAAAAAAGTTAGCTAGGCGTGCTGGCAGGCGCCTGTAACCCCAGCTGCTTGGGAGGCTGAGGCAGGAGAAGGGCTTGAACCCAGGAAGGGGAGGTTGCAGTGAGCCAAGACTGTGCCACTGCACTCCAGCCTGGGTGACAGAGTGAGAAGACTCTGTCTCAAAAAAAAAAAAAAGAAAAAAGAAAAGAAAGAAATACTACCTCATACTCTTACCAACAGCATGAGAGAAATAAGAGACTCTGTCTCAAAAAAAAAAGTTATATTTGTAATTTTCTCCTGTTATATTCTTTTTTTTTTTTTGGACAGAATCTAGCTCTGTCACCCCAGCTGGAGTGCAGTGGTTGGATCTCGGCTCACTGCACCATCCACCTCCCGGCTTCAAGTGATTCTCCTGCCTCACCCTTCTGAGTAGCTGGGACTATGGGCATATGCCACCACACCTGGCTAATTTTTCTATTTTTAGTAGAGATGGGGTTTCACCATGTTGGCCAGGCTGGTCTCAAACTCTTGACCTCCAGTGATCCGCCCGCTTTGGCCTCCCAAAGTGCTGGGATTACAGGTGTGAGCCACCATGCCTAGCCTATATTCTATTAATGAAAGGATTGTTCTGTTCGTTCAGTGTAACACGCTGTTAATACTTCTTTCTTCTTGATTTGGAGACTGAAGACCACCTTGAATCTATGTGTCAAATGGAGTTGATTTTTTGCTAGGAATTTGAGTCTTAGAACTTTGGATTTTGTTGGAAATTATGATTATACTGATTTACTGAAATTGCCATAATAGTTATTTTGTTAAATTTATTGAATGAAGTAGTTGTAAAAACAATTCTATATATTTTCTTCAGAGTTCGGTTCCCTCAAAATTATAAAAGCAGGAAAACTCAAGACAAAGAAATACAACAAGGTATGTTTTCATAGGAAATAGTTCTTAACTGTACTGATTTTTGAAAATTGAGGCTAAGAACTCTTAGGTTATTGTAAGTGTATTTTTCTTCTAATTGTACTGTTGGTATTAGATTAAAGTTATTATGGAGAATCATAACCTTTATCCAAATCTCTATATATGCCTTTGCTATCGTGTATAACTCAATTTAGTTAATGTCATTAAATAGTGGTGAAAGTTTTATCATAAGATTAAGCCATTCTTATTGCAAATGTTCTATTGTTTGCAGAAACTTTTAGATTAATTTGGCAGATGCCTGCATATAACTGAATGTAAATGATTATTAAAACTTCTTTCACTTTTAGAAAATGTTTTTTTCTGCTTAAAATTTCTAAAACTAATTTGCAGACCTAACTCTTACTTGTTACTTCTTAGGCTAGTGATTTCAGCGATATGGAGAATTGGCCAACACCAAGTGAATTAGTGAACACTGGAGTGAGTATTATTTTAAAGTTTTTCTTTAAAGAAAGGAAAATATATCCATTTCAACATGCAGAATTTTATTTTACTTAAAATGTAAAGAATTGTCATACTGGGGGACAGATTTTTTTTATTTGTTTTTTTTTTTTTTTTTTTTTGAGACGGAGTCTCGCTCTGTCGCCCAGGCTGGAGTGCAGTGGCGCGTTCTGGGCTCACTGCAAGCTCCGCCTCCCGGGTTCATGCCATTCTCCTGCCTCAGCCTCCCGAGCCACCTCGCCCGGCCAGTTTTTTGTATTATTTTTAGTAGAGACGGGGTTTCACTGTGTTAGCCAGGAAGGTCTCGATCTCCTGACCTCGTGATCCGCCCATCTCGGCCTCCCAAAGTGCTGGGATTACAGGCTTGAGCCACCGCGCCCAGCCTTTTTTATTTGTTTAAGACAGGGTCTTGCTCTGTCACCAGGCTGGAGTACAGTAGTGTGATCACAGCTCATTGTAGCCTCAAACTCCTAGGCTCAGGTGATCTTCCTACCTTGACCTCCAGAGTAGCTGGGACTACAGGCACGCACCACTGTGCACAGCTAATTTTTGTATTTTTCATAGAGACGGGATTTTGCTGGTCTCCAACTCCTGAGCTCAAGTGATCCTCCTGCCTCAGCCTCCCAAAGTGTTGAGATTATAGTATGAGCTACGAACCTGGCTGAGGAACAGACTTAAAAACTTGATTCATCAAGAAGATTACATTTTGTTAGTTTAATTTGCAGTTATTCTTTGATGCTGCCAGTAACATTAGTAATGAACTTGTCTTAAGCTTTACTCATGGTAAGCTTAACCTAACCTATTATTTCTTTCTTTTTTTTGTTTGTTTGTTTGAGACAGGGTCTCATTCCATTACCCAGGCTGGAGTGCAGTGATGTGATCACAGCTCACTGCAGCCTTGGCCTCCCAGGCTCAGGTGATCCTCCACCTTTGCCTCCCAAGTAGCTGGGACTACAGGTGTGCGCCACCACACTGGCAGGTTTTAAACTTTTTGTAGAGATGGGGGTTTGGCCATGTTGTCCAGGCTGATATCGAACTCCTGAGCTCAAGCAATTGGCTCGCCTCAGCCTCCCAAAGTGCTGGGATTATAGGCGTTAGCCACCATGCCTCGCCTATTATTTCTTTAATAATGAAGACATATTATAAATTGTAATCAAATTTTTATATTTGTATAAAATCACATACATTGATAAAGAGGTGCTGAAAACATGGCAGCTATCCTTTTGATAATTTACCCACTTTTCAGATAACCTAGTTTAATTCATCACATTTCCCTCATCTGATTGTATTCTTTTTTTGAGACGGAGTCTTGCTCTGTTGCCCAGGCTGGAGTGCAGTGGTGGGATTTCAGCTCACTGCAACCTCTGCCTCTCTGGTTTAAGTGATTCTCCTGCCTCAGCCTCCTGAGTAACTGGTATTACAGGCACGCACCACCACATCCGGCTAATTTTTGTATTTTTAGTAGAGACTGGGTTTCACCATGTTGGTCTCCAACTTCTGACCGCAGGTGATCCACCCACCTTGGCCTCCCAAAGTGCTGGGATTACAGGCGTGAGCCACCGTGCCTGGCCTCCTCTGGTTGTATTCTTAAGAGGTAACCTTATATGCGAGATTTGCATTTTCTAGAATTTTGTATATATGGAAGCATTCAGTAGGTACTCTTTTTTCTTTTTTTTTCCTGGCTTCTACTCAGCATGATTATTTTGAGATTTTACTTGTGTGTCAGCGGTTCATTCCTTTTTCTTTTTTTTTTTTTTTTTTTTTTTTTGAGACGGAGTCTCGCTCTGTCGCCCAGGCTGGAGTGCAGTGGCCAGATCTCAGCTCACTGCAAGCTCCGCCTCCTGGGTTCCCGCCATTCTCCTGCCTCAGCCTCCCGAGTAGCTGGGACCACAGGCGCCGCCACCTCGCCCGGCTAATTTTTTGTGTTTTTAGTAGAGACGGGGTTTCGCCGTGTTAGCCAGGATGGTCTCGATCTCCTGACCTTGTGATCCGCCCGTCTCGGCCTCCCAAAGTGCTGGGATTACAGGCTTGAGCCACTGCGCCCGGCCGGTTCATTCCTTTTTCTTGCTGAGTAGTATGGATGTAACACAGTTTGTCCATTCACCTATTGTTAATGGACATTTGGATTAATTTTGGGTTTTGGTTGATACAGATAAAACTGCTATATGAACGTTTGTGTAGAAAATTTTTCATTTTTTCTTGGGTATGTCACTAGGCTGGATCATAGAGTAGCTACCTGTTTTAGCTTTTTAAGAAATTGCCGAATTTGCACTTCTATCAGCAGTGTACGTGAATTCCAGTTACTCCACATTTTCACTCCCTCTCTTTTTTTTTTTTTTGTGAGACCCGGTCTCACTTTGTCACCCAGGCTGGAGTGCATTGGCATGATCTCAGCTCACTGTAGCCTTGTGATCCCCCACCTCAGCCCCATAAGTAGCTGGGACTATAGGCATGCACCACCATGCCTGGCTAAGTTTTTTGTATTTTTGTAGAGATGGGGTTTTGCCATGTGCCCAGTCTGGTCTCAAATTCCTGAGCTCAACTAATCTACCTGCCTGGGCTTCCCAAAGTGCTGGGATTACAGGTGTGAGCCACCGCACCCATCTTTACTCGCCCATAGTTTAGTCAAGTTTCAAAAATATTTTAGCCATTCTAATAAATGTGGAGTGGTCTCCCATTGCAGTTTTAATTTACATTTTTCTGACGAATGAATGCAATAATCTTTTCATAGATTTGCCATCGGTATATCTTTTTGATGAAGTATCTGATCAATCTGCCTATTTAAAAAAATGGAAGGCTGGGTGCAGTGGCTCATGCCTGTAATTGCAGCACTTTGGGAGGCTGAGGAGGGTGAATCATTGGGGTCAGGAGTTTGAGACCAGCCTGACCAACAGGGCGAAACCCTGTCTCTACTTAAAAAAAAAAAACAAAACTAGCCAGGTGTGGTGACATGTGCCTGTAATACCAGCTACTAGGGAGGCTGAAGCAGGAGAATTGCTTGAACCCAGGTGGTGGAGGCTGCAGTGAGCCGAGATCGTGCCACTGCACTCCAGCCTGGGCAACACAGTGAGACTCCTTCCCCCCCACCAAAAAAAAGTGGAATTGATTTCTTGTTACTGAGTTTTGAAAGTTCATTCTGTATTTTAGATAAAAGTTCTTTGTCAAATACTTAACAAATATTTTCTCCTAGTCTGCAGCTTTACTTTTAACTGTCTTTTGAGAAGTAATTTTTTTGCTTTTGATAACAGTTTTTGTCATTTGTTTTGCATTTTTAAGTTAGGTATATTACCACAAATTTTTGGGTGTGTTAGTGAAAATGTTAATGGAAATCATTTCATTCTGAAAACCTTTTTGCAGTTTCAGAGCGTCCTCAGCCAAGGAAATAAAAAGCCACAAAATAGAAAAGAAAAAGAAGAGAAGGTTGAAAAGAGAAGTAACAGTGAGAGCAAAGAAAATCGGGAAACAAAGTTAAATGGTCCCGGTGAAAATGTCAGTGAGGATGAGGCTCAGTCAAGTAATCAACGAAAGAGAGGTCAGTTTGTCCATATCTTTATTTTGATTTTAGTTTTTGAAGAAAGTTGTAATGAGGAATTGTATTTCATTAACTTATCTCTGATAGTCAAAAATGTATAGTTTGTATTTCTTCAGGATAAACAATCTGCAGTGGTAACTCATTTGCTTTTGTAACATTTCTGAACTGTTAGACTTTCCTTTTTGTATGTAACTTGTATTCTATGCAAGAAAATGGAATGGAGTTCCACTTAGAGGTACAGTTGTAGATACATTCTTGGAAAGTTGTGTGACAATTATTGTTCTTTTACATCTGCATTGGAACTGCTCCCTATATTTAGGGAGTACTGTGAAAATTAAATACATTTTTTTCCTAAGACAAAAGTGAGAATAGGCCAGGTGCAATGGCTCACACCTGTAATCCTAGCACTCTGGGAGGCCGAGGCGGGCGGATCACTTGAGATCAGGAGTTTGAGACCAGCCTGGCCAACATGGTGAAACCCTGTCTCCATTAAAAATACAAAAAAAATTAGCCAAACACGGTGGTGCACGCTTGTAGTCCCAGCTACTCGGGAGGCTGAGGCAGGAGAATTGCTTGAACCCAGGAGGTGGAGGTTGCAGTGAGCCAAGGTTGCGCCATTGCAATCCAGCCTGGGCGACAGTGCAAGACACTGTCTCAAAAAAAAAAAAAATTTTTAGTCAGCCTTTTCCCTCATAGCATTCCCCTGTCAAAATTACACTTTGAAGGAATAAAAATATTGTCTTCATGTCCTTTTCCATTTTCTTCTCTGAACTTTTCATGTGTCTAGGGACAGTTTATGATTTACCTGCTTTGTAAAAGCATATACTCATTCAGTGGTCGGAGTCTTGGTCAAAGTGTCTTCACGCGCTTCTAGGCAGAAAAGGGCTTTAAACTGTTAAGTTGTCGGTGACTGAAGCAAGGTGATTTTCTGGGAGAGTAGCAGGAGACATAGATAGGCAAGGTCCATGGTGTACAGGGCCTTGGAGTTAGGATTCTATTTTTTTTTTTTTGAGATGGAGTCTCGCTCTGTCACCCAGGCGGGAGTGCAGTGGCCGGATCTCAGCTCACTGCAAGCTCCTCCCCCCGGGTTCTAGCAATTCTTCTGCCTCAGCCTCCTGAGTAGCTGGGATTACAGGCACACGCTGCCACACCCAGCTAACTTTCTGTATTTTAGTAGAGACAGGGTTTCACTGTGTTGCCCAGGCTGGCCTCGAACTCCTCAGGCAATCCACCTGCCTCGGCTTCCCAAAGTGTTAGGATTACAGGCGTGAGCCACTGTGCCTGGCCGAATAGTTTGTTTTTTTAATAAATAACTAATCCTTAGTTCAGGATAAGCATGATGGTTTCTTGATACCATGAATAAAGGCTGATTGCTCAAAAACAGTGACAAGAAGACAAACAAGTGGTTGTTAGAAAAATTTATCCCTATTTCTTTTTTTTAAGTTTTAAATTTAAAAATGTTTTTAAAATTTTGAGACAGGGTCTTGCTGTGTCACCCAGGCTGGAGTTCAGTGGCATGCTCATGGCCCACTGCAGCCTCGATGACCTGGGCTCAAGTGTTCCTCCCACTTCAGCCTCCTGAGTAGCTGGGACTAAAGGCATGTGCCACCACGCCTGGCTAATTTTTGTATTTTTTTGTAGAGACAAGGTTTCCCGACGTTGGCCAGGCTGGTCTTGAACTCCTGGGCTCAAGTGATCCACCTGCCTCAACCTCCCAAAGTGCCGGGATTAGAAGTGCGCGCCACCATGCCTGGCCTCCCCATTTCTTAACTACTTCGTCACTTAACTATTTCCTGCTTCCTACATACATAAGTAGTGTTCTTGACTGTCTAGAATCCATACAGATGACAGATTTGTTATCCTGATCTAAAATTTGTCTTTATTAATTGCTTCAATTAAAACTGGTCAGTCAACACTAAAACCCAGATGTTTTGTAGTTAGAACAATTCATATAATCAAGCTATTAATTGATCTAGAGTACAGATTTTTGACTTCAGAAGAAGGGCTTCTTTGTGTCAAGGAATCTCATTGACATAAATTTATAGTATAAGATTAAAAGCCTTTTTAGATGCATTTATATTCACTTTTCCTCATTTGATCCATAGTTTGCAGGATTTATAGGATATCAATATTGTAGTTGCACACTAATATTTCTTTTTAAATTACCTTGGCAGTTTTTTCATTCCCATGAGTCTTTATTTTGGTAGAAAATATAGATTGGGCAGAATGCTGAACATTTTGAAACCCGAGGTATGGCATTCATGAATAGATGATCTTCAGAATTTCACTATAGAATAACCATAAATAGTTACATTGTCATTTAGTCATCAAGAAAAGTTAAATTGCTTGTGTTTTTTGTCCTTAGGAAGATGCATAATAGCTGTAAAAAGTTCTGTCAAGTTAAACAAATTTTATACTTATCCATTTTCCCTCTTATATTTTGAGAAACCTCATTCATTAGTAAAAATCCTGGGTAAATTAATATTTTAGGCAGTGATCTGGAGCTAAAAGTGCTTCAAACCTAAAGCCTAACTTTCCAAAGTATACATTACAGTGTTTTATCAGATATATCCCATTCTAAAGCCTAAGAATTTTAAATTAAACTGATTTTTTTTTTTAAAGCATAAGGTACTAAACAGAATAGTATGTATATGTACTTTTTTGTTTGTTTGTTTAGAGACAGAGTCTTGTCTCGTGCAGTGGCACGATCTTGGCTCTCTGCAACCTCTGCCTCCCAGGTTCAAGGAATTCTCCTGTCTCAGCTTCCTGAGTAGCTGGGACTACAGGCATGTGCCACCATGCCCGGCTAATTTTTGTATTTTTAGTAGATATGGGGTTTCACCATGTTGGCCAGGCTGGTTTCGAACTCCTGACCTCAGGTAATCTGCCCGCCTCGGCCTCCTAAAGTGCTAGGATTACAGGTGTGAGCCACCACGCCCGGCCTTTTGGCATGATCTTGGCTCACTGCAAGCTCCGCTTCCCAGGCTCAAGCTATTCTTGTGCCTCAGCCTCCTGAGTAGCTGGGATTACTGTCGTGTGCCACCACACCTGGCTAATTTTTGTACTTTTTAGTAGAGACAGGATTTCTCCATGTTGGTCAGGCTGTTCTTGAACTCTTGGCCTCAAGTCATCCACCCACCTCGGCTTCCCAAAGTGCTGAGATTACAGGCATGAGTCACTGTGTCTGGCCTCTTTACAAATAATCTTAAAATATACATTCAGTGTTTCACTTATTTGATTAAAGTTCAGAGTGCTTTCAAATTGCAAGGGTTTAGTGAAAATTGTGCATTTGTCCTTAAATGATTTTATTTTGTTTTCTTCAAGCTAATAAGCACAAGTGGGTACCACTCCACTTAGATGATGTAAGATCAGAGAGTCAAGAAAGACCTGGATCCCGGAACAGCTCAAGATGTCAACCTGAAGCAAATAAACCAACACATAACAATAGGAGAAATGATACACGAAGTAAGTTACCATTCTAAGACAAAAATGACTAAGGAAAGACTTAGTCTTAATGCTTGTTATTTTAGTAACCACATGTATAAACCATTTGAGAATAAGTTGAAGACATCATGTCCCTTTAACCCTAAATACCTTCAGAGTATATTTCATAAGAACAATATAACTGTAATGCAATTAACAACAATGAAAGTTAACATTAATACAATGTGATTGTCCACAGGCAGATTTTTCTCAATAAAGTCCTTTATAGTTGATCCCTCCCCTGCTCCAAGGATCCATTCTGGGATCACTCATTTAATTTTTTTTTTCTCTCTTTAGGCTCCATTAATCTGTAACAGTTCTTTTGCTTTTATGTTTCATGACATTGATTTTTTTGAAGATTGTAGGATAATTATATTGTAGATATCCTTTACTTTGGGTTTTCTGATGTTTCCTTGTGATTGGATTGGGGTTGTGAATTTTTGGCCAGGAGTACTGTGTAAAACAATAATATTTTCTTCTTAGTGAGTTGCATGGCAGTATGACCTTGGTTTGTTCCATTATTGAAGATATTAACTTTGATTACCCCTGTAACTTTATTTGGTTATTTGATTACAACATTGATTAATATTAATTTTGATTGCTCCTGTAACTTTATTTGATTGTTAGTTTGATTACAACATTGGTTATTATTATTATTATTTATGTTTTTTGTTTGAGATGGAGTCTCATTCTGTTGCCCAGGCTGGAGTGCAGTGGCATGTGATCTGGGCTCACTGCAACCTCTGCCTCCCAGTTTCAAGCAATTCTTCTGTCTCAGCCTCCCAAGTAGCTGGGACTACAGGCTCATGCCACCACACTCGGCTAATTTTTTAATTTTAATTTTTAATTTTAATTTTTTTTTTTTGAGACGGAGTCTTGCTCTGTCGCCTGGGCTGGAGTGCAGTGGCCGGATCTCAGCTCACTGCAAGCTCCGCCTCCTGGGTTTAAGCCATTCTCCTGCCTCAGCCTCCTGAGTGGCTGGGACTACAGGCGCCCGCCACCTCGCCCGGCTAGTTTTTTGTATTTTTTAATAGAAACGGGGTTTCACCGTGTTAGCCAGGATGGTCTTGATCTCCTGACCTCGTGATCCGCCTGTCTCGGCCTCCCAAAGTGCTGGGATTACAGGCTAGAGCCACTGCGCCCCGCCGATTTTTTTATTTTTAGTAGAGATGGGGTTTCACCGTATTGGTCAGGCTGGGCTCTAACTCTTTTTTTTTTTTTTTTTTTTTGAGACGGAGTCTCGCTCTGTCGCCCGGGCTGGAGTGTAGTGGCGCGATCTCGGCTCACTGCAAGCTCTGCCGCCCGGGTTCCGGCCATTCTCCTGCCTCAGCCTCCCGAGTAGCTGGGACTACAGGCGCTCGCCACATCGCCCGGGTAGTTTTTCGTATTTTTTAGTAGAGACGGGGTTTCACCGTGTTAGCCAGGATGATCTCGATCTCCTGACCTCGTGATCCACCCATCTCGGCCTCCCAAAGTGCTGGGATTACAGGCTTGAGCCACCGCATCCGGCCTGGGCTCTAACTCTTGACCTCAAATGATCCACCCACCTCGACATCCCAAAGTGCTGGGATTATAGGCTTGAGCCACTGCAACCGACCACAACACTGATTATTAACTTTGATAACTTGGTTTAGGTAGTGTACTCTAGACTTTAAAAATTTTTTAATTTTCTTCAGTTTTTTGTTTAATTATAAAAATACTCTTTTCTCCCTTTGTAATTACTATGTAATTTGTGTAGAGAGGCTTTGAGACTGTGGAGATAATAATTTTCTCATTAGACTTTTCAAACAAGCTTTAGCTTCCTCTTTTTTTTTTTTTTTTTTTTTTAAATATGTGATGGGGTCTCATTCTGTTGCCCAGGCTGGAGTGCAGTGGGACAGTCATAGCTCACTGCAGTCTCGAACTCTTGGGCTCAAGTGATCCTCCCACCTCAGCTTCCCGAGTAGCTAGGATGACAGGTGCACGCCACTATGCCCGGCTAATTAAATAAAAAGTTTTCTTTAGAGACAGTCTTGCTGTGTTGCCCAGGCTGGTCTTGAACTCCTTGTCTCAAGCGATTCTCCTGCCTCGGCCTCCCGAAGTGTTGGGATTACAAAGTTAAGCCACTGCACTCAGCTTCTCCCTCTTTATTGCCAAATAATATTCTGTTGAATGCATATAGCCCTTCGTCTTTTTATCTGTTGATGGATAAGTGGCTTGTTTATAGTTTTTGGACTTTGAATAACGCTGATGAATAGTTGTTTACAAGTCTTTGTGTGGAATGTATGTATTTCTCAAATGCCTGTGAGCGAATTGATTGGTCATATAGTAGCTGTGTATTTAACATTATAAGAAATGGCTACTTTGTAGCATTTTACATTTTCATCAGCAACTTTTTTTCTTTTTGCTATGTGTTAAGTCCCATGTCTAGTGGAATTTCCGTATTTTGGATTTGACTGATTGCTTTGTCATGGTATTCTTTTTTTCTTTTTTGAGACTGAGTCTTGCCCTGTCACCCAGGCTGGAGTGCAGTGGCGCCACCTTGGCTCACTGCAAGCTCCACATCACGCCGCAGTCTCCCGAGTAGCTGGGACTACAGGCGCTCGCCAGCACACCTGGCTAATTTTTTTGTATTTTTTAGTAGAGACGGAGTTTCACCATGTTAGCCAGGATGGTCTTGATCTTCTGACCTCATGATCCGCCCTCCTCGGCCTCCCAAAGCGCTGGGATTACAGCATGAGCCACCGTGCCGGTCGCTTTGTCATGGTATTCTTTGGCATTTGCATGTTCCTTTTTTTTTGTTTGAGACAGAGTCTCACTCTGTCTCCCAGGCTAAGTGCAATGGCATGATCTCGGCTCACTGCAACCTTCACTTCCTAGGCTCAAGCAATTCTCCTGTCTCAGCCTCCTCAGTAGCTGGGACTGCAGGCATGCACAATCGTACCTGGCTAATTTTGTATTTTTTGTAGAGATGGGGTTTCCCCATGTTGCCCAGGCTGGTCTCAAACTCTTGGGCCCAAGTGATCTTCCAGCATCAGCCTCCCAAAGTGCTGGGATTAGAGGTGTGAGAGCCACTGTACCCGGCCTGCCTGTTCCTTTTAAAACTGGCAATAAGAAAGAGCTAGGTTGATTAGGTTCAGGCTTTTTTTTTTTTTGCTTGGAAAAAGCAAAAAAAAACTGTGTGTATTTCACTTTCAGTTGTGTTAATATCGAGTTAGCTCAGGTGTTAGGCTGATCATTCCATTAAAAAGTATCCCATTAGTCTTTGTGTTTTTTTTTTTTTTTTTTTTGAGACAAAGCCTCACTGTCGCCCAGGCTGGAGTGCAGTGGCGCGATCTTGGCTCACTGCCTCCCAAAGTGCTGGGATTACAGGTGTGAGCCACTGCACCCCGGCCCATTAGTTTCTACTGAATGGTTTTACTTTCATTAAATATACTGGCCAGATACTTTTTTTTTTTGAGACGGAGTCTCGCAGTATTGCCCAGGCTGGATTCTCCTGCGTCAGCCTCCCAAGTAGCTGGGATTATAGGTATGGACCACTGTGTCCGGCTACTTTTTGTAGTTTTAGTAGAGACAGGATTTCACCATGTTGGGCCAGGCTGGTCACGAACTCCTGACCTCAGGTGATCTGCCTCCCTCGGCCTCCCAAAGTGCTGGGATTACAGGTGTGATCCAACACATCCAACCCAGATACATTTTTTCACGGGGTTTGCTCCGATTTTCAGAAAGCAGAGGATAGGAGGATATGTGGAAACAATAGGATGAGCATTTGTTTTTATAGTTTTCTGCTGAAATCTGGTAAGTCATGTCCTGTGAATGGATAAAAAGGCCTGAGGAAATTTTACAGACAATATAGCCATTCAAAAATTTTAAATATACCTGTGTGGAGGTAAATATATTTTGATTAAAAAAAATTTCCAATGTATTATGAAAAACTTTAAACATACAAAAAATTGAAAGAATTGTACAGTGAATACCTGTCTAGCCACCATCTAGATTAATAATTTCTCTGTATTTAATTCATTTGTTTGCTGAATCCCTTGAAAGTAACTTGGAGCTGTTGACGCTTTATCACTAATGTCCTAAGAAAATGCATCATCTAAGAAAATCACACTAGTTTCCTAGTACCATCTAAAATCTAGTCAACAATTAATTTTTCTCAATTGTCCACAAAATATGACTTCTAAATTATAAAACTTTAACTAAATGCAATGGTGCAAGCCTGTAGTCCCAGCTACTTGGGAAGCTGAGGTAGGAGGATTGCTTGAGCCTGGGAATTTGGGGCTGTAATGCACAATGATCATGCATGTGTAGGGGTGCATATATATATGTATGTATGTATAAAACGTGTCTATAGCAAAATGGACTTTTTTCCTACTGTTTTTCAAAATGTCATTTTAAGTTTTTATTCTAAAAGTAATGGATACTCCTAATTTCATTAATTTTTTTCTTATTAAATATTGAATATATGGCCGGGCGCGGTGGCTCAATCCTGTAATCCCAGCACTTTGGGAGGCCAAGACGGGTGGATCACGAGGTCAGGAGATCGACATCATCCTGGCTAACACGTTGAAACCCCGTCTCTACTAAAAAATACAAAAAACTACCTGGGCGATGTGGCGAGCGCCTGTAGTCCCAGCTACTCGGGAGGCTGAGGCAGGAGAATGGCCGGAACCCGGGCGGCGGAGCTTGCAGTGAGCTGAGATCGCGCCACTACACTCCAGCCCGGGCGACAGAGCAAGACTCCGTCTCAAAAAAAAAAAAAAAAAAAAAAAAAAAAAGAAAGAAAAATATTGAATATATAAGAAAATAGATATAAAGTTATACAGAACAACCATATAATGAGCTGACTATGGTGGCACTCACCTGTAGTCCCAGCTACTTGGTAGGCTGAGGTAAGGAGGATTGCTTGAGAGCCCAAGAGTTCGAGGCTGCAGTGAGCTATGATCATGCCACTGCAGTCTGGGTGACAGAGTGAGACCCCATCTGTAAAATCAATAATAATAATGATGAGGATGGTGATGATGATGAACAGTGGAAACTCACCCTGTTTAAGAAATATATGTTACTATTACTTTTAAACTTCCCGTTGTGCACTCTGCAGTTTCATCCCATTGTTTCGGAAAAAATGAGCTTAAGTGCATTGGTTTCTTGCATGTTTTGAAATCGCTGTGCAATGTGACTTTATCAACATTCTTTGGCAGGAATTTTTTTTTTTTTTTTAATCCAGCCTACTTTTCTTTAGATTAATGCATGTTGGTTGTATTACTGTAAGTCTTCTTTTCTCTTCCTGCTGAAAGGCTGTTTCACTATTTGATAAAATCTGTACTAATGGTGGTGGGTATTTGGATTGTTTCTTGTTTTTTTGATATTAAAGTGCTACCGTGAACATTTTAATATGCATGTTTTCCAGCACTCAAGTACAAGAGGCTCTCTAGGGTAATTTTTTCAGACTGCAGACTATAGTCTGTGAGTGGGTTATGAAATCAGTATATTGGTTCATGATAAGGTTTTTAAAAACCTAGAGTGCTTCACATAGTAAATTTTAAAATGATATGTGTTTAAATTATAAATTTTTTTGTAAGTGTACTTGTGTGTGAAATACATAAGGCTTACTTACAGATTAAGGCAGAAATGTTTGAAAAAGTGGCTGGGCACGGTGGTGCACGCCTATAATCCCAACACTTTGGGAGGGGGAGGTGGGTGGATCGCTTGAGCTCAGGAGTTCAAGACCAGCCTGGGCAACATAGTGAGACCTCATCTCTATTTTAAAAAAAAGAGAAATGTTTGAAAAAGACTGTTTTAGGTCTAAGCATTGAGGATGGAACTATGGAATCTAGGGTAATGTTCTCAGTGAGGGTGATTTTTTTTTTCCCCATAGAGTCATTTGACATTGGAGATATTTGTTACGGGTTGTCACAACTGAGGGAGTGAGTGGGTGCTACTGGCATCTAGTAGGTGGTGGTCATGGATAATGCCAAACATCCTGTAGTCCACAGAACAGGCCCCCACACCAAAGTCTAAAGTGCTAAGGTTGTAAAACCTTTTCTCTAGGATTTGCATATCTTCACATTAATTAGATTATTCCAAGTTGATTTTCAAAGTAGATATACCTGTTTTCAACCTTATTAGCAATATACGAATGTTCTACCTGTTTTTTTGAGACAGAGTCTCACTCTGTTACCTAGGCTAGAGTGCAGCGGCGAGATCTCGGCTCACTGTAACCTCTGCCTCCCAGGTTCAAGTGATTCTCCTGCCTCAGCCTCCCAAGTAGCTGGGATTACAGGCGCCACCACCATGCCTGGCTAATTTTTGTATTTTTAGTAGAGATGGGGTTTCGCCATGTTGGCAAGGCTGGTCTCAAACTCCTGACCTGAAGTGATTGGCCCCCCTCAGCCTCCCAAAGTACTGAGATTACAGGTGTGAGCCACCATACCTGGCTAGTGTTAAACCTTTTTAAACTTTGTCCATGTTTCATATTAGAGACATTAAAATATTTGTTGTACTGGGGTAAAGAACCTTTCATTGTCTTAATTAGCATTTCTTATAGTCAGTAAGGCTGAGCACTGTTTTCTTTTTTTTGTTTTTTTTATTCTAAGATGGAGTCTTGTTCCGTTGCCCAGGCTGGAGTGCAGTGGCAGGGTGTTGGCTCACTGCAACCTCCGCCTCCCAGGTTCAAACAGTTTTTCTGCCTCAGCCTACCAAGTAGCTGGGATTACTGGCACTCCACCACCACGCCCGGCTAATTTTTTATATTTTTGGTAGAGACAGGATTTTGCCATGTTTCCCAAGCTGGTCTTGAACTCCTGAGTTCAAGCAGTTTGCCCGTCTCAGCCTACCAAAGTGCTGGTATTACAAGCATGAGCCACCACACCGGGCCTCTTTTTATGATTTCTTTTTTTTTTTTTTTTTTTTTGAGAGGGAATCTCGCTCTGTAGCCCAGGCTGGAGTGCAGTGGTACAATCTTGGCTCACTGCAACCCCTGCCTCCCGAGTTCAAGTGATTCTCCTCCCTCAGCCTCTGGAGTAGCTGGGATTACAGGTGTGTGCTACGGCGCCCGGCTAATTTTTGTATTTTTAGTAGAGGTGGTATTTCACTATGTCGGCCAGGCTGGTCTCCAGCTCCTGACCTCAGTTGATCCGCCCACCTCGGCCTCCCAGAGTACTGGGATTACCGGCCTGAGCCACTGTGCCCGGACTTGTATGATTATTGACTCATTGGTAGGCAGCGTTTTCAGTATTTATTGTCCACTTGCATTTTTTTGCCCTGCTTGTATTTTAGATATTTTCCCCATTGAGTGGTTGTGTGTGTGTGTGTGTGTGTGTGTGTTGCATGAGAGAGAGTGGTATGGTTCTTACATGTACTCTAGATAGAATTTCTATATTTCGCTTCAGATATCTTTTCTCAATTTGTTTTGTGTTTTCATTTCCTTTTTACTTTATAAGGAATGTCATTTACTTAAATAGAACCATCCTTAAATATTTTGTGAGAAGTGTTTTTTAGGAGTTTTATATAGTACAAATTAGTAGTCTTGAAATTTCTTGAATCTTTATCAGCACAATCTTAATAAAATTATCTCTTTATCTTTCTAATATGTGATTTTACTTGTTAGAATGTATTCTTCACGGCCGGGCGCGGTGGCTTAAGTCTGTAATCCCAGCACTTTGGGAGGCCGAGATGGGCGGATCACGAGGTCAGGAGATCGAGACCATCCTGGCTAACCCAGTGAAACCCCATCTCTACTAAAAAATGCAAAAAAAATTAGCCGGGCGAGGTGGCGGGCGCCTGTAGTCCCAGCTACTCGGGAGGCTGAGGCAGGAGAATGGCGTAAACCCGGGAGGCGAGCTTGCAGTGAGCTGAGATCAGCCACTGCACTCCAGCCTGGGCGACAGAGCGAGACTCCGTCTCAAAAAAAAAAAAAAAAAAAAAAAAAGAATGTATTCTTCATATGCCAATACTTTTTAGGCTCTGTTTTATGCTAGAGATATTTTTGATAAATTCTTGTTGGATCTCTTCAGTTTGTATCCATCTGAAAAATGCCTGGCTACTGTTAATTAGTGACAAAGTGTCTATGTTTTCATAAAGACAATCATGTTATTTTACTTGGCAAATCGAAGTATATAAAAATATTTTTATTTTTAAAAGGTTGGAGGCGAGATAGAGAAAAAAGAGATGATCAAGATGAAGTTTCCAGTGTGAGAAGTGAGGGTGGTAATATCCGAGGTTCCTTTAGAGGTCGAGGAAGAGGCCGAGGACGGGGAAGAGGACGAGGCAGAGGAAATCCTCGATGTATGACATAATTTTTGTTTTGTTAAATTAGATAAACTTTGAAAAAAATAGAGCAACTATCCTCTATTATGTTTTAACTAATTTTCTTTGTTTGGTAATAGATGATTTTATGTTTGTTAACCTTTGAAGTTCTTCACTTTATCCATAGTAACTATTTTTTTTCTAATATGTGATTACCTTTCTTTTTCTTTATTCACATCAAGTGAACTTTGATTATTCATATGGTTATCAAGAACATGGTGAAAGGACTGATCAACCATTTCAAACAGAGCTTAATACCAGTATGATGTATTACTATGATGATGGTACAGGTGTACAGGTGTATCCTGTGGAAGAAGCATTGCTTAAAGAGTATATTAAGCGTCAAATGTAAGTGGATGTTTGATGTAAGCAGATGGGATAGCAAAATCTGTGGCAATATCAAACTTTAATGTTACTGATAATGAATATGTTATAACTTTTTTTTTTTTTTTTTTTGAAACAGAGTCTCTCTCTGTTGCCCAGGCTGGAGTGTAGTGGTATGATCTTGGCTCAATGCAGCCTCTGCTTCCCGGGTTCAAGTGATTATCGTTCCTCAGCCTCCTGGGTAGTTGGGATTACAGGCACATGCCACCACACCTGGCTAATTTTTGTGGTTTTGGTAGAGAACGGGTTTCGCCATGTTGGCCAGGCTGGTATTGAACTCCCGGCCTCAGCTGATCTGCCCACCTTGGCCTCTCAAAGTGCTGGGATTATAGGTGTGAGCCACCATGCCTGGCCTGTTATAACATTCTTAAAGCTACTTATTAGTAAAGGTTGGAAAATGTTAACAATTATTTTGATTATATATTTTTAGGGAATATGATTAAAATAGGTATTTGAAAAATTTTGTATTTGGTTTATGTTGTTTATATGTCTCCTGGCTTCTATACTATTTAGATATTTTTCTCCTTAAAGGAGATTAGGTAAAATGTTATTGCATAATATGAATAAATATAAGACTGTAAAGCTTCTCTATATATACTTGAAATTGAACAAGTAAAATTTGGCTTATTATTTGCCAGTAGGTATTTATATTAGAATTTGCAAATGAATGTAAATAACAAAGAATGGTAGTATCTTTTAATTTTCTTCTTAGCAATTGACTTCTGAATTCTAAATTTTTTTTTTTATCTTCTGAGTTTTTCTTTGTGACATGTAATTAAATGGGGACTACCTTATATGTTAGTTCAGACTTCTTACTCTAGTTCTCATAGTAGTTGCTTTTTGGGTACTGAATGTGAAGTCAGGAGAATATCAGCTCTATTTTCTGAAAGGAAAAACAAACCCTATGCATATTAGTATTGTATAGGATATTTTGCTTATTTATAGGCAAGAGAAAAATGTTGCCAAGCAGTTTGCACAACCAATTTGTTAAAACTTGAAATTTTTCTCTCCTTACAAGGTGAAGGAAAAGGGCTATTTTTGAAAGGGCATAAGCATTTTAGAATCATCTATTTTTCCAAAATAAAATAGACTCTACTCTGTTACTAGAAAATTTCTTTATCGTCATCAGCCAGGCACCTTCCTGGGTTGCCTTCATGGTGGATCCAATTTGCTTACAGTGTGGAGCAACTTGTTTATTTTGTTCTTGCTTCTTTTGTTACAGTTGATGCAAACACTGAAGAAAAGGGCCTTTTTATGGGCAGAAAGTGCTTGACATGTGGCTGTCAACTTCATACCACTATTACTGCCTTTTTTGTAACTTTTGCTGCCAAGCCCCTTCTGAGACCTGACAGTGGACATGCAACTCCACGTCAGGATAATCGGCCTCCAGTGCTCATACAAGTGAGGGAGGAGCAGAGCTACTTCAGTGTTGACAAAATTTCTGATCATGCAGTGTAGAATCCAGAACCTCTAAGGTAGGACTTGATGATGTCCCTAGGACACTGAGCAAAATGTCAGACATGGCATTGGTCATGCCTCTTTTTTTGGTTGATCTAGCAGTAGGGATTTTGGCAAATGTTAGTAGAGCACTAGGTTTAGTGTGGCTTGTTATTATTACCATTATTTGATTAGTGGAGATCTGGCTTTGAAGGAGTCGTGCTTTTTACCTTGTATTACTTGGTTTCTAATATATAGATAGGCTGATTGATTAAGATTTTGATTTTCTTTTTGAGAAGTCACCAAAAGTTTTCCTGACACCTGTGGAAAAATGATGCAAAATGAATTGTAAAGTATGAGGCCTAAAAGTATTCAAAATGGTTGAAGGTCTTTTTTTTAAACCTTTTTTTTGAGACGAAGTTTTGCTCTTATTGTGCAGGCTGGAGTGCAATGGCACGATCTCGGCTCACTGCAACGTCCGCCTCCCGGGTTCAAGTGATTCTCCTGCCTCAGCCTCCCGAGTAGCTGTGATTACAGGCATATGCCACCACGCCCAGCTAATTTTTGTATTTTTAGTAGAGACGGGGTTTCATCTTTCTGGTCAGGCTGGTCTCGAACTCCTGACCTTGTGATCTGCCCTCCTCGGCCTCCCAAAGTGCTGGGATTACAGGCGTGAGCCACCGTGCCTGGCCTACTTGTTTTTAACATTTTAAGTGAAAATTTATATTAATTGTTTGTGATATCAGCATTAAAATGTAAAGATCTTGATTATTTCTAGCTGTGATAATCTCTTTTGGCACTGAGAGATGACAGATTTGTTCCTTTTTTCTTTTTTCTTTTTTTTTTTTTGAGGCATTGTCTCACTCTGTCACCCAGGATGGAGTACAGCAGTGCAATCTCAGCTCACCTCAACCTCCGCCTCCTGGGTTCAAGCAATTCTCCTACCTTAGCCTCTCGAATAGCTGGGATTACGGGCGCGTGACACCGTGCCCAGCTAATTTTTGTATTTTTATTATAGACAGGGTTTTGCCATGTTCCCCCGGCTGGTCTCGGATGCCCGAGCTCAAAGTGATCCACCCATCTCAGCCTCCCAAAGTTCTGGGATTATAGGCGTGAGCCACCATGCCTGGCCGGGACAGTTTATTATTGATTTAGGGAAGTTCACATCTCACAGCTAAGACCATTTGTAACTTGTGACTAAATCAAATGTCTTAATGTCTGAAATTTTCGAATTTTTTTTTTTCTTTTGAGATGGAGTTTTGCTGTTGTCAACCAGGCTGGAATGCAATGGTGCAATCTCGGCTCACTGCAACCTCCGCCTCCAAGGTCCAAGCGATTCTCCTGCCTCAGCCTCCCAAGTAGCTGGGATTACAGGCATGCAACACCATGCCCGACTAATTTTGTATGTTTAGTAAAGTTGGGGTTTCACCATGTTGGTCAGGCTGGTCTCGGATTCTTGACCTCAGGTGATCCGTCTGCCATGGCCTCCCAAAATGTAGAAATGACAGGCATGAGCCACTGCGCCCTGCCTGAAATTTTAGAATTTTAACACATGTATTATGTATCTACCACATGCCAGACATTATGAATAAGGCTTTTAAGGCGTAACAACCATCAGAATATTCATTTCTTTAAGACTTAGATTTTTTCCTTCAGTGTTTAAAAAGAGTAAATGAGGCCAGGACGAGGTGGCTCACTCCTGTAATCCCAGCACTTTGGGAGGTCAAGACAAGTGGATCATCTGAGGTCAGGAGTTCGAGACCAGGCTAGCCAACATAGTGAAACCCTGTCTCTACTAAGAATACAAAAATTAGCCGGGCAAGGTGGCACACGCCTGTAGTCCCAGCTACTCAGGAGAGTGAGGCAGGATAATTGCTTGAACCTGTGAGGTGGAGGCTGCAGTGAGTCGAGATCATGCCATTGCACTCCAGCCTGGGCAATAAGAGTGAAACTCCATCTCAAAAAAAAAGAGTAAATGATTTACTAGTGTTACTGAGATGTCAGTAGTATTTCAGTAGTCTTTGAGAGAGTTTTGCACTCTGACAATTGGATAAATGTCAAACTATTAAAGGAAAATTTGGATATTTACATTCTTAAAATAAGTTGATTTATTTTCTTCCCCTTGTGTAAAAGATAGCTGAAAACCAGTTTTCAGTTATGATGCCTTTTTTTCAAAGATAGAATTTGGTCCGTATACTTCAAGAGCATCTTTAGTCACTGAGTTTTATACCCCAAAATGTGAGCTGGTTTGTTTTCCCATAACTTGTACACCATGTTTGAAAACTTTCTCTGTGATTTGGAAATAGTGTGGGATTATTAAACTGTAGGCCCCATCATCATTGATGTTCATCCATTTATACTTCTTTCAGAAAGGTTAAGTGGGTTTGTGTTTTTCTTTCTCTTTTTTTTTGAGATGGAGTCTCACTCTGTTGCCCAGGCTGGAGTGCAGTGGCCGGATCTCGGCTCACTGCAAGCTCTGCCTCCCTGGTTTATGCCATTCTCCTGCCTCAGCCTCCCGAGTAGCTGGGACTACAGGTGCCCGCCACCTTGCCCGGCTAGTTTTTTTGTATTTTTTAGTAGAGACGGGGTTTCACTGTGTTAGCTGGGATGGTCTCTCGATCTCCTGACCTCGTGATCCGCCCGTCTCGGCCTCCCAAAGTGCTGGGATTACAGGCTTGAGCCACCACGCCCCGCCGGTTTGTGTTTTTCAAGAGAAGATAAGACATCTAATCATTTTCTCTATTTTTGCCTCCATGTGCCTCATGGTGTCAAGGATATTCCTTCTTTAGCTGTATTCTGTGATAACTTAATGTCTTTTCTGTTTTTTTTTTTTTGTTTTTTGAGATGGAGTCTGGCTCTGTTGCCCAGGCTAGAGTGCAGTGGTGTACTCTCGGCTCACTGCAAGCCCTGCCTCCCAGGTTCATGCCATTCTCCTGCCTCAGCCTCCCGAGTAGCTGGGACTACAGGCTCCCACCACCACGCCTGGCTAGTGTTTTGTATTTTTAGTAGAGACGGAGTTTCACTGTGTCAGCCAAGGATGGTCTTGATCTCCTGACCTTGTGATCCGCCCGCCTCAGCCTCCCAAAGTGCTGGGATTATAGGCGTGAGCCACCACGGCCAGCTAATGTCTTTTATTATTATTTTTAGACAGTCTTGCTCTGTCGCCCGGGCTGGAGTATAGTGGCACGGTCCCTGTTCACTGCAACCTCTGCCTCCCGGGTGCAGTCAGTTCTCCTGCCTCAGCCTCCCGAGTAGCTGGGATTACAGGCACCTGCCACCATGGCCAGCTAGTTTTTGTATTTTAGTAGAGATGGGGTTTCCCCATATTGGTTAGACTGGTCTTAAACTCCTGACCTCAAGCGATCCACCTGCCTTGGCCTCTGAAGGTGCTGGGATTACAGGCATGAGCCACCTCACCGGGCCACCCTTAATATCTTATAGTCCGTCTATCAAAGAAAGAAGCATGGAGGACTTGAATCATTCAAAATATATATGTGCACATATGCCTGTGTGTTCACTAAGTTTTTTTTTTTTTGAGACGGAGTTTTGCTCTTGTTGCCCAGGCTTGAGTGCAATGGCGTGATCTTGGCTCACTGCAACATTTGCCTCCCGGGTTCAAGGGATTCTCCCGCCTCAGCCTCCTGAGTAGCTGGGATTACAGGCATGTACTACCACACCCCGCTAATTTTGTATTTTTAGTGGAGACAGGTTTTCTCCATGTTGGTCAGGCTGGTCTTGAACTCCCGACCTCAGGTGATCTGCCCGTCTCAGCCTCCCCAAGTGCTGGGATTACAGTCATGAGCTACGCCGCCTGGCCATGTTCACTAAGTTTTTAACTAAGCGTTGTGCTGGTTACTAGGCTTCAGAAGTGTTAAACATGTCAGTACTTTGTCAATTTAGAAAACAAAACGAACTACTTTTCTGTATACGAATTTGACAAAGGATACTTCCAGTATACCATTCTTCTCAGTGACTGGGAAAAAATTGGCAGGCATTATGCTAACATGTGATTAGCTTTGTTATCTAATACTTAAATGAAGCAAGTAGAAGTGGCTTTGTAAAGATTTTCATCTAATTAACTCATTAAAATCAATTATTGAACTATCTTAAAGTAAAATGAGCAGCTTAATTCTTTATATTTAGTGAAGCTGATCTAAATAGAAGTTATTAATTTTTTGGAAAATCAGTATTTTAAGTATAAGAGAAATTAATTCAGTAGGGTTTTTTGCTATCTTATATGTTTACCCTATCTATGTTGTATTAGACCTGTACATATTGTTAGCCAAATTACAATACTTTCATGTTAATGATTGGTTTTCACAGTTAGTGTGCGAGCAATAGAAATATTTATTTTCTACTGAATAAATGGATGAAATTCTAATTTCTCTTTTCAGTGAATATTACTTCAGTGTAGAAAATTTGGAACGAGACTTCTTTCTTCGGGGAAAGATGGATGAACAAGGTTTCTTGCCTATTTCCCTGATTGCTGGTTTTCAGCGTGTTCAGGCTCTCACTACAAACCTTAATCTCATCTTGGAGGTAATTGCTCATTTGAAGAACAGTTTGTACTTTCCACTCAAATTTCCTTTGTACCTAAAACTTCTCTAAAAAACAGAGTATTAAAAACAGACAATCTGTAGTTGCTTGAGGCTCAGACAGCGTTCCATGACGTTTTTCTGTTTTGTAAAACCTTCATAAATGTCTAACCTTGGAAACCCCTGAAAGTATTGCTAATGTTGTTACTACATATTTTCTCCTTCCTCTTCCCCTCAATTAGTCAACCTATTTTAAACCTGATCCTTCAAACTTGAACCCTTTTGAACATTCTTGGTCCTTAAAACTTCTTCAGGGCTGGGCATGGTGGCTCACGCCTGGGCGATAGAGTGCAACAACACAATCAAACAAAAATTTCTTTAGGTTACTGTAAAAAAGCATGTGTTCCCCTATATATTTTTATATATAAATATATAATATCTATATATAAAAGTATATAATATCTATATATAAATATCTATTTATATATAAATATATATCTATTTATTATCATATAAATATATAATATATATTTATTATTATAGTATATAAATATATATATTTATTATTATAGTATATAAATATATAATATATATTATTATGTATATAAATATATAATATATATTTATTATTATGTATATATAATATATATTTATTATGTATATAAATATATAATATATATTTATTATTATGTATATAAATATATAATATATATTTATTATTATGTATATAAATATATAATATATATTTTTTTTCAGACAGTCTCACTCTGTTGCCCAGGCTGGCGTGCAGTGGCACGATCTCGGCTCACCACAACCTCCACCTCCCGGGTTCAAGCGATTTTGCTGCCTCAGCCTCCTGAGTAGCTGGGACTACAGGCACGCACCATCATGCCTGGCTACTTTTTGTATTTTAGACTTGGCGTCACTATCTTGGCCAGGCTGGTCTCAAACTCCTGACCTCATGATCCACCCACCTCCGTCTCCCAAAATACTGGGATTGCAGGTGTGAGCCATCATGCCCAGCCGTTCCCACTTATTGAAAGGCTAATTTAAAATAGTCCTTCTGGCTGGGCATGGTGGCTCATGCCTGTAATCCCAGCACTTTGGGGGAAAAAAAAAATCTCTCATCTGGCCTGTTTCTAGAAATGCTTTCAACATCTTTTTTTTTTTGAGACGGAGTCTTGCTCTGTTGCCCAGACTGGAGTGCAGTGGCCGGATCTCAGCTCACTGCAAGCTCCGCCTCCTGGGTTTACGCCATTCTCCTGCCTCAGCCTCCCGAGTAGCTGGGACTACAGGCGCCTGCCACCTCGCCCGGCTAGTTTTTTGTATTTTTTAGTAGAGACGGGGTTTCACCATGTTAGCCAAGATGGTCTCGATCTCCTGACCTCGTGATCCGCCTGTCTTGGCCTCCCAAAGTGCTGGGATTACAGACTTGAGCAACCGCGCCCGGCCCTTTTTTTTTTTTTCTAACCAGTTTCTTTCCCTACACACAGCCCTTGGTAACCACAATCACTAATCTGTTTTTTTTTTTTGAGACAGAGTCCTATTCTGTTGCCCAATATGGAATGCAGTGGCACAATCTTGGGTTCAAGTGATTTTCCTGCCTCAGCCTCCCAAGTAGCTGAGATAACTGGAGTGTGCCACCATACCCAGCTAATTTTTGTATTTTTAGTAGAGACAGGGTTTCCCCATGTTGGCCAGGCTGGTCTTGAACTTCTGACCTCAGGTGATCCACCTGCCTTGGCTTCCCAAAGTGTTGGAGTTATAGATGTGAGCCACCACGCCTGGCCACTAGTCTACTTTTTATCCCTATAGTTCTATAGTTTTGCATTTTCCAGACTATCATAAAATTTTAAAAGTTGTAGCCTTTTGTTTCTGATTTTTCACTTAGTATACTGCTTTTGAGATTCACCTATGTTGCATGTAGCACTAGTTTGTTCTTTCATATTACTGACTAGTATTCCATGGTGTGGATATACCACAGTTCATCCATTCACATGTTGGTGGACATTCAGATTGTTTATGGTTTTGGAGAGTATGAGTAAAGCATGAAGATCTTTATAGGGATATATATATATATTTTTTTCTGTTGGATAAATAGTATTGTGATTGCTGGAAAGTATAGCAAGTATATGCTTATCTTTATAAGAAAATGCCAACCTATTGTTTAAAGTGACTTTACCATTTTGTATTCCCACCATTATGTGTGGGACTTGTTCCTCAGTCTTATCATGGCTTATATTGTCAGTTTTTTGAATAATAGATATGTAGTGGTTTCTCATCGTGGGCTTTTTTTTTTTTTGGACAAAGTTTCAGTTTTGCTTTTGTTGCCCAGGCTGGAGTGGAGTGCAATGCCATGATCTTGGCTCACTGCAACCTCCGCCTCCTGGGTTCAAGCAGTTCTCCTGCCTCAGCCTCCCAAGTATCTGGGATTATAGGCACCTGCCACCACGCTGAGCTAATTTTTTATATTTTTAATAGAGATGAGGTTTCACCATGTTGGCCAGGTTGGTCTCAAACTCCTGACCTTCAGGCGACCCATCTGCCTTGGCCTCCCAAAGTGTGCTGGGATTACAGGTGTGAGCTACCATACCTGGCCTCTCATTGTGTTTTTTTGTTTGTTTTTTGAGACAGTCTCTCTCTGTTGCCCAGGCTGGAGTTCTGTGGTGTGATCTTGGCTCACTGCAACCTCTGCCTCCTGGGTTCAAGTGATCCTTCTGCCTCAGCCTCCCAAGCAGCTGGGACTACAGGCACGCACCACCACGCCCATCTGACTTTTGTGTTTTTAGTAGGGATGAGGGTTTCACCATGTTGGCCAGGATGGTCTTGATCTCTTGACCTTGTGATCTGCCCGCCTTAGCCTCCCAAAGTGTTGGGATTACAGGCGTGAGCCACTGTGCCCGGACTCATTGTGGTTTTAATTTGCATTTCCCTAGTGATTAAAGCTGTCAGCATTCTTTCATGTGCTTTTTTATCTGCATACCTTATTAGTGGAAATGTCTGTTCAGATTTTTTGTTCATTATTATTGAAGTGTTTTTTAAAAGATAATTGTATGAGTTCTTTATTCTGGATACAAGTCCATTATATGTATTTTGCAAATTTTTTTTTCCTAGTTTTTGTCTTTTCATTTTCTTTTCTTTTTTTTCGTTTTTGAGACAGAGTCTTGCTCTGTCACCCAGGCTGGAGTGTAATGGTGTGATCTTGGCTCACTGCAACCACCGTTTCCCGGGCTCAAGCGAGTCTCCTCCTTCAGCCTCCTGAGTAGCTGAGATTACAGGCACCTGCCACCATGCCTGGCTAATTTTTGTATTTTTTAATAGAGACAGGGTTTCACCATGTTGGCCAGGCTGGTCTCGAACTCCTGACCTCAGGTGATCCACCTGCCTTGACCTCCCAAAGTGCTGGGGTTACAGGAATGAGCCACTGTGCCCACCCTCATTTCTTAACAGGCTTCTTTGAATAGCAAGTTTTTGAACACATTTGTGCTTCCTATTTTAAAAATCAACTATGGGGCTGGGCGTGGTGGCTCACACCTGTAATCCCAGCACTTTTGGAGGCCAAGACGGGTGGACCACTTGAGGTCAGGAGTTTGACACCAGCTTGGTCAACATGGTCAAACTCTGTCTCTACTAAAATACAAAAATTAGCCAGATGTGGTGACGTGCCTGTAATCCCAGCTATTCGGGAGGCTGAGACAGGAGAATTGATTTTACTATAGTAAAATCCATGTTTTAAAAACAACATAAAATAATGATTTGTTGGTGTATAATTAATGGTTCTTGGTTTCATGAAAATAATTACTGTCAGCAATGTCATTATTGCATTTGTTTATAGATAGGTATGTAAGGTTTCTATATATTGTAATTAACAGAGAAAATTAGGTTTTTTTTGCAAAATTTGTTCTTAGAGCAATTATGATTCATAGTAGAATGAGTTTGTTTATTTATTTATTTATTTTCATTTTTTAGTAGAGATGGAGTTTCACCATGTTGGCCAGGCTGGTCTCCAACTCCTGGCCTTAAGTGATCTTCCTGTTTCAGCTTCCCAAAGTGCTGAGATTACAGGCGTGAGCTACTGTCCCCGGCATTAGAATAAGTTTATTAACTGCTGCCATTGTGCTATAGCAAAGGTCCAACTCAGCTGCCATTTTTTATGAAGTTGTTGCCATTTTTTCCCTGTCTACTTCTGTATGAATATAGTTGTAATTTTATTATTGTATGCCTTTTTGGTCTGTTTGTAGTCCCATTAAATCCTCAAGCACAATTTTAAGATCATTGACGTTTTGTTTTTACAACCTACAACAGTTAGGAAGGATTTTTAAAAGGAAACTTTTGAGCTGCTGTTATGTTAGCACTGATACAGTAGCTAATGATACAGTAAAAAATACCACTATTGAAAAGCAGAAACATGTAAACATAGCAATTTAGAAGAACATAAGCCTGCATTCATTTAACATTCATTATGCACCTACCATTTGTAATAGTAGAAAAGGTGTTCTTTTTCTGTTAAGAAACTGAGGCTTCATTATGCATTGCAGTGTAACGATACTAAGATCATGGACCTATGAATATGTCCCTTTTAGTTCTGTGACTATGGTCAGTGTCCTGAGACAATAATATATACTTCCTAGGGTTGTTGTGAGGATGAATTGTATTAATGAAAGTATCTGCCAAAGGTAGTAAGCTCTAAAAAAGTAAACATTTGCTATTATTGTTAGTCTTAAATGATGTCTTTCTGTTGGTAACTCCTTTATCTTCATGCATTTCATTTCTACCGTCTTCTTCCTGTATGTATTTGAATATGCTGAAGTTTTTCCTTTCTTGAAAAAAACTTGAGAGAAGCAAAATACTTTAGCTGGTACCTGTATCTGCCCTGGTTAAATATGCATATGCAAACCACACTGGTTGAATCTGATTCTTCTCCACTCATTTATTTTTTACCTTACTGCATTCTTGATGTCTTCCCCGTAATTGAAAGCTTTTTGTGTCTTCCATTTATTAGAGCAAATTGATCCTGGTTCTATAGCTTACCAGTTGTATAACTAAGTAATTGACATAACATCTTCATGCTTCAATTTTCTTGTTAAAATATAGCAAATAATACTTAAGCTGTAATAGAGTATGAGGATTGAGAGGAATAATTAATATCAGCCTCAGAACTGTACCTGCTACTTTCATCTCAAACCTTGTTTTCTAAATTGTCTGAACTTGTGGTTCCTCAGAACTTGTGCTCTTTTCTTTTTATCTCCAGGTCTTTGCACATTCAAGTCTTCCTTTTACTACCAGGCAGTGAGAATGCAACATCTATGTATTCCAGCATTGGTAGTTATTCATAATAGTAGGTGTGTATCATTAAGAAAAGGACCAAAATTAATAGCTAAGTCAGATAAAACCTCAGATACTGGAAAATATTGATGTACCCAGTAACTCATTGTTTAGGAGTTCAGGATTACCAAGGCTTGGTTTTTAATAAAAATATGTGTAACTCTGTTTCTTCTCGTCTTTACCTTAATTTTGTGCATGGTGTAGTTTCTATATGATCCTTTTAAGGCCTGAGTGATAAATGTTTCACTTTCTGTGTTCTTCACTTCCCTTTTAAATTTATTATTTTTAAATAGGAAATAAATTACACAAAATTCAAAACTCAGAAGGTTATATGGTTATCTTCCAGTGATTGTCCAAGGAAAAAAAAGGTATATGGTAAAACATTTTTTTCCCATTTTTCACCAACAGTGAATGAGTTACCTGCCTTGGTAGTGGTCAGTGTTACTTCTTTCTTGGGTCTTCCTCCTGAGATAGTTGGTTTATATAAGAGAATACTATGGTACCTTACTATATACAATGTTTGTTATGCCCCTTCCTCTTTTTTTTTATTTTTTGAGACAGAGTCTCACTCTGTCACCCAGGTTGGAGTGCAGTGGCACGATCTTGGCTCACTACAACCTCTGCCTCCCAGGTTCAAGCAGTTCTTCTGCCTCAGCCTCCTGAGAAGCTGGGATTACAAGCTCCTGCCACCATGCTCAGCTAATTTTTGCATTTTAGTAGAGACGGGTTTTTGCCATGTTTTCCAGGCTGGTCTGGAACTCCTGACCTCAAGTGATCTGCCTGCCTCAGCCTCCCAAAGTGCTGGGATTACAGGTGTGAGCCACCGTGCCCGGCCTCCTCTTTTTTATTTTTTATAAAAAGCATGTGTTGGAAGAGGCTTTAGTAGCTGTACATAAAGAACTTTGAGCTTTTTCATCCCACAAGTTTTTCTTTAAATATTTTATTTTAAATTGAGGCCTAATTTATACATTATTATTAATTTATTTATTTTTTTCGAGACGGAGTCTCGCTCTGATGACTGGGTTGTAGTGCAGTCGGGTGATCTTGGCTCACTGCAACTTTTGCCTGCTGGGTTCAGGTGATTCTCCTGCCTCAGCCTCCTGAGTAGCTGAGATTATAGGCATTCGCCACCACACCTGGCTAATTTTTGTATTTTTAGTACATACGGGGTTTCACCATATTGGTCAGGCTAGTTTCGAACTCCTGACCTCATGATCCGCCTGCCTCAGCCTCCCGAAGTGCTGGGATTACAGGCGTGAGCCACCGTGCCTGGCCTTTATACATTACATATTGTAACTCATAAGATTAGAGATGATATTTTTTCCTATGTATACGGTCAGGTAACTGCCATCCAGATTAAGATATAGAACATTTTCAAGACCCAAGCAAGCCGCCTTCTGTACCCTCCTAGTCAGTACCACTGCTCTCCATTTTAAGAGGCCTCTCTCCTGTTTTTTGAATTTCACATAAAGGGTGTTATGACTTTTATATCTGATTTTATTTCTGAAGTTATTTCTGTGAGATTTATTCATATTGGTGTATAGCAGTTGTTTACTTTCTGTTTTTTGGTAGTTTTTCCATTGTATGAATAAAACAGTTAATCTTTTCTTTTTTTCTTCTCTTTCTCTTTCTCTTTCTTTTCTTTTCTTTTCTTTTTTTTTTTTTGAGACTGATCTCACTCTGTGGCCCAGGCTGGAGTTATATTGACCTGCTCTCACTCTGTGGCCCAGGCTGGAGTTATATTGACCTGATCTCACTCTGTGGCCCAGGCTGGAGTTATACTGACCTGATCTTAGCTCACTGCATCTTCCACCTCCCAGGTTCAAGCGATTCTCCTGCCTCAGCCTCCCGAGTAGCTGAGATTACAGGCACCCACCACCAAGCTTGGCTAAGTTTTTGTATTTTTAGTAGAGACAGGGTTTCATCATGTTGGCCAGGCTGGTCTCGAACTCCTGATCTCAGGTGATCCAGCCGCCTCGGCCTCCCAAAGTGCTGGGATTACAGGCTTGAGCCACCATGCCCAGCAACAGTTAATTTTTCTATGTAGATACTGCTAAACATTTTTTTAAAGTATCGAACCAATCAAAACTACCACTATTGGGAATCTGACTTGCTTCACTAGAAAACAACACTATTGGCCGGGCACGGTGGCTCAAGCCTGTAATCCCAGCACTTTGGGAGGCCGAGACGGGCTAATCACGAGGTCAGGAGATCGAGACCATCCTGGCTAACACGGTGAAACCCTGTCTCTACTAAAAAATACAAAAAACTAGCCGGGCGAGGTGGCGGGTGCCTGTAGTCCCAACTACTCGGGAGGCTGAGGCAGGAGAATGGCGTAAACCCGGGAGGCGGAGCTTGCAGTGAGCTGCGATCCGGCCACTGCACTCCAGCCTGGGGGACAGAGCGAGACTCCGTCTCAAAAAAAAAAGAAAACAACACTATTGGCAGTCTTTTTCCACAACTTTACTTTGGAAAATTTAAACATATGGGAAAGTTTCGAGGAATTTTTTTTTTTGTTTTAACATTCAGGGCTAGATAACATATGGTAAAATATAGCGATCTTAGGTGTTCACTGTGAGTTTTGAAAATTAAACATAAGCATTACCCCAAACAAGATGTAGAATACTTTCATTATTCTAAAAACTTCCTTCATGGCTCTTTCTAGTCAGTTTCACACAGCCTCTCCAACAACTTTTCTGATTTTCATATCATAGATTAGATTAGTCTGTTCTTGGCATTTGTATAAATTGATTTCTTCTGTCTCTGGGTTCTTTTCATTGGTAGTGTTTGACATTCATCCATGTCGTTGCATGGTCTGGATGCTGGGCATACTGTTTGCTACTGGGGCGTCATTGCTTCTAGGTCTTTCAGTGGACAAAATGAGGAAAATATATGTTGGGAAAAATATACTGATTTTACTCATTTAAAGCTTTCACCATAGGATTCTTTCCTATCTTTCTCCATTTTATATTTCAGACTCCCTTCTCAAAGGAGTTTCATTTAAAATAAGTCCTAATTGTAATTTAAAGAAATGCCCAGTTATGGCTGGGCACGGTGGCTCACCCCTGTAATCCCAGCACTTTGGGAGGCCAAGGCAGGTGGATCACGAGGTCAGGAGTTCAAGACCAGCCTGGCCAACTTGTTGAAACCCCGTCTCTACTAAAAGTCCAAAAAACTAGCTGGGTGTGGCGCCTGTGATCCCAGCTACTTGGGAGGCTGAGGCAGAGAATTGCTTGAACCTGTGAGGTGGAGGTTGTGGTGAGCCGAGTTCACACCACTGCACTTCAGCCTGGGTGACAGAGCGAGACTGTTTCAAAAAATAAAAATAATAATAAAAAAGAAATACCCGGTTATGGAAAATATAACCTGAGAGTTAAGTACCATACTAATATTAAGAGCAAGAGTAGGTTCTTTTTTCAAAATCTGTTCATTTCCGAATGGATAATATTATATTTTTTTGTTTTTTTTGAGATGGAGTCTTGCTCTGTCTCTCGGCTGGAGTCCAGTGGCGTGAGCTCGGCTCACTGCAACCTCTGACTCCCTGGTTCAAGTGATTCTCCTGCCTCTGCCTCCCATGTAGCTGGGATTACAGGCACGTGCCACCACGCCCAGCTAATTTTTGTATTTTTAGTAGAGATGGGGTTTCACCATATTGGCCAAGATGGTCTCGATCTCCTGACTTCATGATCCACCTGCCCCGGCCTCCCAAAGCGTTGGGATTACAGGCGTGAGCACCTCGCCCGGTTAATGTTCTTAATTATATACAGCATGTTCTCCAACTAAAATGTAGTGGGCTTTAATTTTTATCAGTTAATGTACATATAACTTTGTATTGTTTTTATATTATACATTTTATATTTATCCTAATTTCTAAAAACTCCTGTACTTCAGTGAGAAGTTAAGTCAGTAAGGCTTTAGTTTGTATCTTGAAGAAATTTTGGCCTAGTTTTGTTTTATCCTTAAATTATAGTACATATTGGGGAGGCATCATAGCCTAATGGCTAAGACTTTTAGTTGCAGATAGATAATGGTTTGAGTCTGGTGTTGTCTCATACTAGATCTATGATCTTCGATTAAGTTTATTTCTTTGAGCCTCAGTTTCCTCATCTATATGCAGGGGTGATACCTTCTTTGTGAGGTATTGTGAGGAATCATGAGTACATGTAGTACTTATTATTCAATAAATTGTGGTAATTATTACAATAATAAAATGCCTAAATTTTATTTGGTGATATTTTAATGGAAGACAAGGAAATATGAGAGAGAGAAGAAAATAGCAAAAGTCAATTTGCTTCTAGCTGATTCAGTATTCCTTAAATGACTATTCTAATTGTGAAAAATTTATCATCTGAAGTTAAATAAGTGGGAGATCAGGATATTTGTTACTTTACAGGCACAAATGATTTTAAAACTTGTTGTGTTCTATGTAGTTATGGATTGTTTAGAATCGTTAACTGCAAATTAGTTTGCTAATTTCAGATTTTCAAATTTTTAGGTTCTTAGAAGTATAGCATAGGCAGTGAAATAGCTCATAATTTTAATAGCTCAATTTCTGTTAATAGGCACTGAAGGATAGCACAGAAGTAGAAATTGTGGATGAGAAAATGAGAAAAAAGATAGAACCAGAAAAATGGCCAATTCCAGGCCCTCCTTCACGCAATGTGCCACCAACAGACTTCTCTCAACTGATTGATTGTCCAGAGTTTGTACCAGGCCAAGCCTTTTGCTCACATACAGGTAACATCTTTTCTTCTAGAGCAAACGATGTAACAGTGGGTTATTTGGTCCAGTTTACTTACTTACTTATTTATAGTTTATTTAGATTTGATAGGAAAATTAAAGCTAACTGAAGGACTTTTGATGTCCCATTTTGTATTCATATTGCCTCACTCACAGAGGTATAAATTAAGGATTTAAGAATTATGAGGAAAGCTGTCTTATATTTCTTGTTCTTAAATTATATGTGTACTTTGTCATGTATGGAGTTTCTTCCTTTTATTTTTACTAAATAACTATAGATATATATCCTGTTTTCCCCTGTAAAATTGGAATAGTATGATTGGATTATTCTAAAAAGGTCTTATACTCAAGAGTGGGGTAGCCTTCCTTTAATTTTGTTACCAATGTGCTTTAATCTTGTCTTGGAAAGATAAGATGACCTACATTCTAAATCAGAATTGGGATTCTCTTTAATTTGGTTGTGTTTAGAATTTCCAAAAGCTTTAATGTTAATAATTTTTTCCTGGATCATTTTTAAGACATTCCCTCTTGGGAAAAAAATGTGTGCTTAAACTTTTTTCAGTCAGGGTGATGATCTTCTGAAGCTCTTGGATGTCATTTGATCGGAATATGCAGTGGAATAGGTGACTCACTGAAATGCCATTATAAATACTGGAACAAATCCTGCTGCAAAAATGAAAGCGATCAGACTGTCTTCTGTTCAAGAACGTCTATTCCCACCTCCTGGTGGAGGAAGTTGGGCCAACACTGCAGTGGAGATAACCACCTTTGCGATAATGAGAGACAGACCAGAGGACTGCTACTCTTTTTATAGGAGCTGCCTATTTCTGTGTAATTGGCCTGGGCTGCATGGGCTGCTTTTATTCATGGTGGGAAAGTTAATTATTATTATTCTGGAAGTACTGCAAGAGTATGTTTTCTGTTTCCAGGGCTATGTACTTGTGTCCAGATGAATAAAGCAGAAAAAGGGGATTGAGTAGCATTTCCCAGATTCTTAAGTACTTTGCTATTTGATTTGCCTTTCAGTGTAGTGTACATTGCAAAACTCAGATATTGTCATGATGTTTCACTTGGACATAAGACTTATTAATGTGGACACTTAAGGGGTAAGGAATTTAAGAACTGGATGAGGGTATTTCTTTCTTTACTCTTCAAAATGTATTTTTGATATATCAATATGAGAGAACGTCCCATCAACAAAGCATCGATGATGGGCAGTCTCACAGTATTTTTATCTTATGTTTCTTTGTCAGGCTTCTGCTTCTAATTCCAGTAAGCAACTTGGACAGGCATTTTAAAAGCTGAAGAAAAGTGACATTATTTTAGCTAGTGGTTTTTAATTTATTTTTTGTTAAGATATAATGGGTGATTAAATAAGTTAGATTTATTTATTGTATCAACTTGGGTCCAAGATGATAGTTTTAGCCAACTTGTGAACAGGCATTGGGTAAGTTAGATGAAATAACATATACTTTCTCTATAGGGTAGGTAAGATAGGTCTGTCAAGTTGGTAATGCCTGTCCATCAACCGTTTATGCATACTAATAAAATTATAAGAATAAAATCATAATGTCTTGTACATTTTTGTGTTTTTTATATACACTCAGATGCATGCACATACATATTGTCTGAAACAAGCCAGTATATATTCAAATGTCATACATTTTAGGTTATTTAGATTATATATCAGCAACTAGATGATTAATGAAGAAATATAGAAAGATGGAGGGTTCTTAGAATTATACTGATTCACATTAGGTCATAGGAATAAATATGTAAATCACCTCTTTCCATGAATTCCCAAATTTCTCACCTTAATAATTTCCTAGTGATAAGAAAGCCTAGTTTCTTTAAGTCAATGGGGAGTAGTATGTCACCAAAAATTTGAAGTGGAAATAGGGATAAGAAGCATAGACTGTGTTTATATGTATCTATGGGTAGAGAAAAGTAGTGAAACTATATGTCATTTTAATCTCAAATTTGAAGACCTTAAAAATTTTAACGACATAACTCTTTATGATTTGGGAGGGATTTGTATGGTAAAATATTCTAACATAATTGGTCTTCTTCATCAAAGAGATTAAAATTTCTATTTTTTTTTCCTATCTGGAGGTTGAATTTTCTAATAGGGGTTGAACTGAGCAGAAGTCTACCTTTATGCACCACAAAACATTGATTATGGGAATGGTAAGATTACTTCTGAAACAGGTTTTGCAGTTTTTTGGATATGGTTAGTATTGTACTATTAACTTTTAAATGAAAGGATTTCATTCATCAAAATTGAAAGGTCAGGTACCTGACAGTGTTGTTTTTTTTTTCTTTTTTTAAATTTTAATAATCTTCACAAGGGCATTGTAATGTAGTGTTTTTCTTTCTTTTCTTTTTTTTTTTTTCCCTTTGACTCTTAACACCACTCAATGAGAATTTTAAAAAGTGCCACACATAAAATATGTAATCCCTTTTTCAGGAAACCTGTTTAATTACCCAGAAATGTGATCCTCCCAAGGTAGAAAAAAAATCATACCAGAGATGAAATGTATATGGTGATTTATCTTTGGAGAGTTTAGTTGATAATTTTCTTTGCTTTTTTTTTTTTTTTTTTTTTTTGTGGAGACGGAGTCTTGCTCTGTCGTGCAGGGGCTGGAGTGCAGTGGCGCAATCATGGCTCACTGCAGCCTCCGCCTTCTGGGTTCGAGCGATTCTCTTGCCTCAGCCTCCTGAGTAGCTGGGATTACAGGTGCGCGCCACCATGCTTTGCTAATTTTTGTATTTTTAGTAGAGACGGGATTTCACCATGTTGGTCAGGCTTGTCTTGAACTCCTGACCTTGTGATCAGCCCACCTTGGCCTCCTAAAGTGTTGGAATTACAGGCGTGAGCCACCATGCCTGGCCACTGATAATTTTCAGTTAATAAAAGCAGCAAAGATAAATTTTCTGTGTTCTTACGAATTATAACAAGTATTCAATATATGTATCTAATTTGTTTTTTGTTTCTAAGTAAGTTTAGTATCAGGTAATCTAAGTCATTTAAACTCATTTTGTCTTGGAAGATTAGGGGTTTACTGTTACCCTTAATCTGTTCAGATGTATAGTTTGAAATCTTCATTATTTAAAAAAAAGATGCAGAAGACCACACAGAGCATATGTATAAATTAATTATTATGAGGTTAACACCTTTACAAGTCTTATTCTAAGAATTGCATGTTTTCTCATCTTACCCATATTCTTTAGTGTTTTAATGTCATTTCATTTCTAAGCATATGTGTTGTGAATATATTGAAATGCTTTACTTCCCAGTAGAAGCATAATTCAAGCTTAAATAACATTTAGAGATCATTTTATAAGAAACAGCTGAGTGTTGTGGCATACACCCATAGTCCCAGCTACTCGGGAGGCAAAGTTGGGAGGATGCTTGAGCCCAGGAGTTCGAGGCCAGACTGGGTGACATACCAAAAACTCTCATATATATATATATATATTTTTGTTGTTGTTGTTGTTGTTGTTGTTGTTGTTGTTGGAGATGGTGTCTTGCTCTGTTGCCCAGGCTGGAATGCAATGGCATGATCTCTGCTCACTGCAGCCTCCGCCTCCCAGGTTTAAGCAATTCTCCTGCCTCGGCCTCCCGAGTAGCTGGGACTACAGGTGTGTACTGCCACGCCTGGCTATTTTTTTGTATTTTTAGTAGAGACGGAGTTTCACCATGTTGGTCAGGCTGGTCTCGAACTCCTGACCTCAGGTGATCCACCTGCCTTGGCCTCCCAAAGTTCTGGGATTATAGCATGAGCCACCATGCCCAGGTCTTCATCTACTTTTAAGGCTTTATTTAGTATGAACATTGATAATTCATAGTATTAGAAATAAGAGTTCTCTGGGCCAGGTGCTGTAGCTCATGCCTATAATCTCAGCGCTTTAGAGATTGAGGTGAGAGGATCGCTTGAGACCAGTTCAAGACTAGCCTGGGTAACAAAGTGAGACCCAGTCTACAAAATATATATATTTTTAAGTTGGCTGGGCATGGTGGTGTGTATGTGTAGTCCTTGTTATTCAGCAGGCTGGGTTGGGAGGATTGCTTGAGCCCAGGAGTTGGAGGCTATAGTGAGCATTACCATGGCACTGTACTGCTGTTAGGGGCCCTGTCTCTCTCTTTTTATTTTTTTTGAGACGAAGTCTTGTTCTTGTCCCCCAGGCTGGAGTGCAGTGGCGTGATCTCGGCTCACTGCAACCTCTGCCTCCCAGGTTCAAGTGATTCTCCTGCCTCATCCTCCCGAGTAGCTGGGATTACAGGTGCCTGCCACCACACCTAGCTAATTTTTTTATTTTTATTTTTATTTTTTTAGAGAGACGGGGTTTCACCATGTTGGCCAGGCTAGTCTCGAACTCCTGACCTCAGATGATCCGCCCGCCTTGGCCTCCCAAAGTGCTGGGATTATAGGCGTGAGTCACCGCGCCCCGGCCTCTGTCTCTTAAAAAAAAAAATTTAAGTCTCCTGTATGGTTCATGAAAAAGAAAAAAAAAAAGTGTTCTCTGGAGTTAATATTTTTCCCATTCCTATAACTAGACTATTAATGTTCATCCAAAGCATGTATTTCACTTGTACTTTTTTTGTGAATGAATTGGTGATACATGTGTTGTTAATAAAGTTATAAAGCACCAGTGTCCAATGAAAATGTGAGTCATATATATAACTAAAAATTTTAGTATTAAAATTATAAAACAGTTGAAATTAATTTTAATATTTTAAATAAATATTTTAATTTAACTTAATAGATCCATTTATTTTTGAGATGGAGTCTTGCTCTGTCTCCTAGGTTGGAGTAGAATGTCGCGATCTCGGCTCACTGCAACCTCTGCCTCCTTGGTTCAAGGGATTCTCCTGCCTCCCAAGTAGTTGGAATTATAGGCACCCACCACCACGCCTGGCTAGTTTTTGTATTTTTAGTAGAGATGGGGTTTTGCCATGTCAGACAGGCTGGACTCCAACTCCTGACCTTAGGTGATCCACCCGCCTTGGCCTCCCAAAGTGCTGGGATTACAGGGGTGAGCCACCATGCCCGACTGTGCCTACTCTGTTGCACAGCACAGTTCTAGAGCTTTTCCTGTTATGAAACAAATACATAGTCTTCTATAAATAATACAGTAATCTAGTAGTTGAGTCCTGGTTGAGTCCATGTGTCCAAGGGGAAGATTTTAAAGCTTTTACTCTTATCTATGTCTAGCATGTAGATGAACGTAAAATCTTGAAATACTCTTCTTAAACCCATTCTTGAAATGTGCCTTTCATTTAGTAAATATTAAAAAAAAGATTGCTGGTGTTAATTTATATCAGCTTTCTGCATCTAACATTTAACTTCTCCATATTTTCAATGAATTGACTTAGAGAAGTTAATGATGTTAAGAATTTTATGGTATACATTTTTGAAAAATAAATTTTATTGTGTATATTTGAGACTTACAACCTAATGTTAGAGATTACATTTTTTAAAGGCACCTTGTGTCCAAAGCAAGTTCATATTGCATCTTCAGACCTGAACCTGAATGTGGCTTAAAATACTTAAATACTCTTTGACTTTTGAAAAAATATTTATAAAAGAAGCCATTTGATTTTTTTTTTTTTTTCTGAGACAGAGTATCGCTTTGTCGCCCAGGCTGGAGTGCGGATCTCAGCTCACTGCAACCTCCACCTTGTGGATTCAAGCAATTTTCTGCCTCATCCTCCTGAGTAGCAGGAATTACAGGCGCCCACCACCAGGCCTGGCTAATTTTTTTGTATTTTTAGTAGAGACGGGGTTTCACCATATTGGCCAGGCTGGTCGTGAACTCCTGACCTTGTGATCCACCTGCCTCAGCCTCCCAAACTGCTGGAATTACAAGCGTGAGCCACCACGCCCGGCTACAATTTGAGTTTTATAATTTTGATTAAAAATAAACCTACAGAAGTGTACTGTGTAGAAAGACATTTCAAATTCCAACAGCTTTTAAATGCTTTTAATGCCAGGGCTGTGTGCATTAGGGATGTAGTGATGTGACATTTACTCTTTTTTTTTTTTGAGATGGAATTTGGCTTTTGTTGCCCAGGCTGGATTGCAATAGCGCCATCTCAGCTCACTGCAACTTCCGCCTCCCAGGTTCAAGCGATTCTCCTGCGTCAGCCTCCTGAGTAGCTGGGATTACAGGCATGCGCCACCACGCCCGGCTAATTTTGTATATTTCGTAGAGATAGGGTTTCTCCATGTTGGTCAGGCTGGTCGACATTTTACTCTTTAAAGTATTTCAGTATGAGCCAAAGTAGTAAATGACTACACTGCATTTATTGCAGTAGGCAAACCTTGTTGAGCCAAGGAAATGTGAAAACTAGGAATAATAACGGCTTTAGTTTAGACCCTAGTAGAACAAGAGACTAATTTTATCTTGAATAAGATGTGCATTTAGCTTAACTATGGCTTAATAGCAATTGAGATTCCATAATTTCCTTATAATTTATAGATTTTAATCTAAGATTTTTCAGAGAACTTGACTTCCTAATAGTTGTACTGTCATAATTAGGAAGTGAATCACATTGATATTCTTGAGAAGTTTGCGTGAATGTAGTGGTCTGTGTAAGAGTTGGTGACATTCCTTTAATTATTCAATGGTTTCACTTTTTAGTAAATCTTCAGGTTTGAAAATCACTGGAAACCTTACAGTTGAGACTGATCATGTTTTTGTGAAAAAATATCAAGCCTCATTTAAGGAAAAAATGAAATGTATTTTATAAGTAAGAAAAGCCATTATCATTTTAACTATAGAACTAACTTAAAATTTTAGAGTCTGCCCCAAATTCTCCAAGAATTGGAAGCCCATTGAACCCAAAGAAAAATAGCGAAACAAGTATTCTTCAAGCAATGTCTAGAGGTTTGTCCACCAGTTTGCCTGACTTGGACTCAGAACCTTGGATAGAAGTTAAAAAGAGACATCAGCCAGCACCAGTGAAATTGAGGGTAAGTTGTTACAGACTGAGTGAAGTGTGACATACCCTGGGTGGAGTATAAGGTCAGTGCATTTTATGTTTGTTAGGTGCATATGTAAAATTTGGAAAAGTTTAGCAAAGTTTTAAATTTGTAATTTTTGGACTTCAGTAGACACTTATGGGTTATTCTATGAGGAAAATAAGTTGTATCAAGTTTCAAAGTGTATTTTTTTTTTTTTTTTGAGATGGAGTTTCGCCCTATCACCCAGGCTGGAGTGCAGTGGCGCGATCTCGGCTCACTGCCCCCTCTGCCTCCCGGGTTCAAGCGATTCTCCTGCACCAGCCTCCTGAGTAGCTGGGATTATAGGCACGAGCCACCACGCCTGGCTAATTTTTGTATCTTTAGTAGAGACGGGGTTTCACCATGTTGGTCAGGCTGGTCTTGAACTCCTGACCTCGTGATCCACCTGCCTCAGCCTCCCAAAGTGCTGGGATTAGAGGCGTGACCCACCACGCCCGGCCTTAAAGTATATTTTTTATTTCTGAACATGATTTAAGAATTTTGGAGGCTGGGCACAGTGTCCCATGCCTGTAATCACAGCACTTTGAGAGACCGAGGCAGGAAGATTGCTTGAGCCCAGGAGTTTGGGGCCACCTGGGCAACATAGGGTGACCCTGTCTCTACAAATAATTCAAAAAACTAGCTAAATGCCAATTTTTTGGTGGAATGTGCCTGTGGTCTCAGCTACTCAGGAGGCTGAGACAGGAGGAACACTTGAGCTCAGGAGGTCAAGACTGCAGTGAGCCATGATCATACCACTGCACTCCAGGGAGAGTAACAAAGTGAGATCCTGTCTCAAAAAAAAGAAAGAATTTTGTCTTGGTTTTTCTACTTGTGACTAATTTTAACTTGAATAATATTTCAGTTTTTTATAAAGTTGAAAAAATATGACTTTTTTTTTTTTGAGACAGAGTCTCGCTCTGTCGCCCAGGCTGCAGTGCTGTGCTGCGAAGTTGGCTCACTGCAGCCTTTGCCTCCTGGGTTCAAGACAGTCTTGTGCCTCAGCCTCCTGAATTACTGGGATTACAGGCTCACTCCACCATGCCCAACTATTTTTTTGTGTGTTTCTGGTACAGACGGGATTACACCATATTGCCCAGGCTGGCCTCAAACTCCTGTCCTCAAATAATTCGCCTGCCTTGGCCTCCCAGAGTGCTGGGATTACAGGCATGAGCCTCTGCAGCCTGGCCAGAAAATATATAAATTTTGAAGTTATACCCATGTTAATTATTTATAAGGTTTATATAAGTGTTGGTGATTTATACATCAGCTTTATATATGTTTTGGTGATTTAATGCACAAAAGGAAAAGAAAATTGAATTTTTGGTGGGGGGTACATAAGGGAGTGAGATGGTTATATTTATAAAAAGAGCAATAGGAGATCCTTGTGGTGGTACTGCTCTGCATTTTTCGCTGGTGGTAGATACACGAACTTACATATGTGATAGGATTGCTTTGATCTAAATAAAAAATGAGTGCAAGTAAAATTGGGGAAGTATAAGCTAAGACTGATTTATATCAAAGTCAATACCTTGTTTGGAATGTTGTAGTATATTTTTGTAAGATGTTAACATTGGGGGAAACCAGGATACATGAGATCTCTATTATTTCTTACAACTGTATGTGAATGTATAATTATTTCAAAGTAAAAGTTCACTAAAAATAAACTTGGGAAGAATGCCACTCAAAAGATTCAAATATTGAAAGTAAGCTCTCTAAAGAGGATGGAAGGTATTGAGAGGATTGTGATGTGGAGGACCAGCAAATTGTTTCTGGTGGCTGGTTTTAAAAGTATAAGGAGAACTGTATAGTTTTATGGCCAGAGAATGCCAGTATATCTGAAATGTATGGTATTTTGATGCTACAGACTGAGGATCTGGCCTGGAGGAAACATGGCTTTAGGTTCTGGGGACCTAGATATTTCAGAGATAACTGTTGAGGTAGCTCAGTTATTGACATTATTTTTAATATGCTTTTAAAAAAGTGATCTTTTAAAAACATTTTAGAGTGGGTATAGAAATCTTGGTTGGACATCATTTTTCTTTGGAATTCTAAAAGCATTTTTCTTTTGTCATCTTGGTTTCTTTTGTCATCTTATAAAAGTCAGTCCCTTCGCGTTCTTTGTATCAAGTGTTTTTTTTTTTCTTCTTGAGTTTTTTTTTTTTTTTTGAGATGGAATCTCGCTGTGTCGCCCAGGCTGGAGTGCAGTGGCGCAGTCTTGGCTCACTGCAACCTCTGCCTTCCGGGCTCAAGCGATTCTCCTGTCTCAGCCTCTTGAGTATCTGGGACTATAGGCGTGTGTCACTATACCCAGCTAATTTTTTGTATTTTTAATAGAGATGGGGTTTCACTGTGTTAGGCAGGTTGTTCTCGATCTCCTGACCTCCTGATCTGCCTGCCTCAGCCTCCCAAAGTGCTGGGATTATAGGCATGAGCCGCCGTGCCTGGCCTGAGATTTTTTTTTTTTCTTTTTTTTAAAGACGAAGTCTTGCTCTTGTTGCCCAGGCTGGAGTGGAGTGCAATGGTGTGATCTTGGCTTACTGCAACCTTCACCTCCCGGGTTCAAGAGATTCTCCTGCCTGAGACTTGTGAGTAGCAGGGATTACAGGCACCTGCTATCACACCCCGCTAATTTTTGTATTTATCTATTTTTTTCTTTTTCAGACAGAGTCTCACTCTTCCCCAAGCTGGAGTGCAGTGGTGCGATCTCAGCTCTCTACAACCTCCCCATCCAGGGTTCAAGTGATTCTCCTGCCTCAGCCTCCAGAGTAGCTGGGATTATAGGCACACGCCACCACGCCCAGCTAATTTTTGTGTTTTTAGTAGAGACGGGGTTTCCTTATGTTGGCCAAGCTGGTCTCGAACTCCAGACCTCAGGTGATTCACCCGCCTCAGCCGCCCAAAGTGCTGGGATTGCAGGTGTGGTCCACCGCACCTGGCCTAATTTTTGTATTTTTAGTAGAGACGTGGTTTCACCATGTTGGCCAGGCTGTTCTCGAACTCCTGACCCCAGGTGATCCACTGGCCTCGGCTTCCCAAAGTATTGGGATTACAGGTGTGAACCATCTCACCTGGCCTTGCTTGAGATTTTTAAGATCATTTCTTCATCCCCACTCTTGAAATTTCAAGATGATATGCTTTGGTATAGGTCTAATTTTAAACAGAAAATCTTTTTTTTTTTTTTTTTTGGCAGAGGGTTTCACTCCCTTTGCCCAGACTGGTGTGCAGTGGCGTGATCTCTGCTCACTGCAGCCTCTGCCTCCTGGGCTCAAGCGATTCCCCTGCCTTAGCCTCTTGAGTAGCTGGGACTACAGGCACAAACCAACAGGCCTGGCTAATTTTCGTGTATGTATATATATTTTTTGTAGAGACAGGGTTTCTCCATGCTGCCCAGGCTAGTCTTGAACTCCTGGGCTCTAGTGATCCACCCACCTCAGTCTTTCAAAGTGTTGGGATTATAGGCATGAGCCACCGTGCCCAGTCAGGTCTTTTTTTTTTTTTTTTTTTGAGATGGAGTCTCGCTGTGTCACCCAGACTGGAGTGCAGTGGCGCGATCTTGGCTCACTGCAACCTCCACCTCCTGGGTTCACACCATTCTCCTGCCTCAGCCTACCAAGGAGCTGGGACTACAGGCACCCGCCACCATGCCCGGCTAATTTTTTTTTTTTTTTGTATTTTTAGTAGAGACGGGGTTTCATCGTGTTAGCCAGGATGGTCTTGATCTCCTGACCTCGTGATCCGCCTGCCTCAGCCTCCCAAAGTGCTGGGATTACAGGCGTGAGCCACTGCACCCAGCTCAGTCAGGTGTAATTTTATTCGTTGTGCTGAATATTCATGTCCTTCATTTTGGGGAAACTAATGTTTCTCTGATTTCCACTTTCTGGTATCTGTTTTCATCTGATGTTGGACCTCCATGATTGATCATCTAACTACTGGGTGTTGGGTGTTTAAAAAAAGTTATCTTCTGATACTTTCATTATTTCCATCATTGTTTTGGTTGCTTTTTGAAGACTTTCTTAATATCCGGCGATTTTTGGTTGATGGTTCATATTAATATCAGTAAATTGGTATGGTTTTCTTTTTTGGTCTAATCTGCTCATCCAGGGCTGTTTTGTTTAATGTGAGGTATGATTGCACACTCTATTTTTAGCTTTTTTTTTGAAGCAGATTTTTGCTCTTGTTTGCCCAGGCTGGAGTGCAATGGTGGCATGATCTCGGCTCACTGTAATCTCCACCTCCTGGGTTTAAGCGATTCTCCTACCTCAGCCTCCCGAGTAGCTGAGATTACAGGCACCTGCCACCACGCCCAGCTAATTTTTTTGTGTATTTTTAGTAGAGACGGGGTTTCACCATATTGGTCAGGCTGATCTCAAACTCCTGACCTCAGGCAATCCACCTGCCTTGGCCTCCCAAACTTCTGGGATTACAAGCGTGAGCCACTGCGCTCAGCCGATTGCACACTCTTGGTAAGTGAAAACGTCCTATGGACTTGGACACCTAGGCAGAGAATAGAGATGCTGGCTCTTTTTCTCCAAAATTGCTAAAAAAAAAAAAAAAAAGAGTACTTTTCTCTGAGACGTAGAATTTCTTAGTGTATCTCATTCATTGGTGAAATTACCTTTTCTTTTCCTCCCCCAACGCTATTTTAGAGGTTCAAAATAATACTAGGATGTGTTCAACTTCTATTCAGCCCCAGTACCCAAAACATGAGCCCTCTCTTGTGAAATCTTATTTTGTTTAGAAAGTAATTCTCGGGCGGTGCTCAGCTGTATCCAGCACTTTGGAGGCGAGACGGCGGATACAGTCAGGATCGACCATCCTGGCTACATGAACCCCGTCTCTACTAAAAATACAAAAAAGTGGGGAGGGGGGGCGCTGTAGTCCGTACTCGGAGGCTGAGGGGAATGGGTGAACGGGAGGCGGAGTTGCAGTGAGCTGAGCCCTGCACTCAGGGGCGACAGAGCGAACTCCGTCTCAAAAAAAAAAAAAAAAAAAAAAAAAAAAAGAAAGTAATTCTCAGCCTTTTAGTTGGCAGCGATCTTTATATAGTTTTATATTCTGAGATAAAGGGATTGGATTGACTGTTTTAGCTGTATTCTATAGTTAGTTTTCCAAATACCTATTTTGATTACCATCCAGTAGTCCATTCCTACTCCTTCTAACTGCCATCTCAAAACTTTCTAGAACTCTGGCGGTATCAATGGCTTTTGCTTCCCTTTTAACCTTTGTATGAGTTCTAGGTTGCTGTTTTCTCTACTCTTGTTTATTATCAATACAATCCCATTTATTTTCTGCTTTCCAGAAAGTCGTAAAAGTCTTTGATCTTCTAATAGTAATACGTGTTTTCAGTATTGATGTGCATTTATTGCTTTTATTCTTTGCACTGTGTATTACTACTGCAAATAAGCATGCAAACTTAAGTCATCTTCAACTCCTAATCTCTTAATAATGGTCTTTTCCTTAGAAATTACAAAAACAAATTGAACAGTTTGGTATTTATTGTCTTAGACTTTTATTATGTACTTGCAAATGTGAAAAGCAATGTATATAGTTTAAAATACATCATCAATGTTTTTAAAATAAATATATTCACAGTGTTTTACAACTTGTCTTTTTTTAGTAAAAACATCTTGGGCAGCCTTCTGTTTACTAGATTGTTAGCTCCATCAGGGCATAGTTGTTGTTAAATTTATTGCTGTCTGTCCCTGTCTAGAACAGTGCCTGGCTCAGAGGGAGCACTCAGATAATTATCAACTGACTAAATGAATATGGATCTACGTTATTGGGAGTTTTGAAAGGGAGGAATTGTCTTTTTCCTAGACATAGGAAGTTAGCATGAACTGAAGGGTAAAATAGGCCAGAGGATGACCAATGAAGGTAACACCAAGGAGAAACTACTTCCTGCTGTTGGGAGTTTTAGACTAGTTTATATATTAGAAGATCTAGGATCTAAAAGCTTAGACTTTTAATGTAAACCAACAACTGTTTTAAGTTTTTTTTTTGAGATGGAGTGTTGCTCTGTCACCCAGGCTGTGAGTACAGTGGCACGATCTCAGCTCACTGCAGCCTCTGCTTCTGGGGTTCAAGTGATTCTCCTGTCTCAGCCTGTCTCAGCCTCCTGAGTAGCTAGGACTACAGGTGCACGCCACCATACCTGGGTAATTTTTGCATTTTTAGTAGAGACGGGGGTCTTGCCATGTTGGCCAGGCTTGTCTCAAACTCCTGGCCTCAGGCAATCTGCCCACCTTGGCCTCCCAAAATGTTGGGATTACAGGTGTGAGCCACTGCACCTGGCCTAGCTGTTTTAAGTTCTATATAGGGGTGGACAATTTGTCTTTTTTTTTTTTTTGAGACAGGGTCTTGCTTTGTCGCCCAGGCTGGAGTCCAGTGGCGTGATCTTGACTCACTGCAACCTCTGGCTCCCAGGTTCATGCAATTCTCCTGCCTCAGCCTTCCGAGTATCTGGGACTACAGGTGCGTGCCATCACGCCTGGCTAATTTTTGTATTTTTAGTAGAGACAGGGTTTCACCATGTTGGCCAGGCTGGTCTTGAACCCCTGACCTTGTGATCTACCCTCCTCGGCCTCCCAAAGTGCTGGGATTACAGGCGTGAGCCACGGCACCCGGCCTGAGGAGTAGACATTTTAACATTTGCTGAATATTAGCGTGAATTTGACATGAAAATTGGGCCATGTAGAATGGGGATGAGGATAGAGTAGAGGGATTAGCTAGGAAACTATGTTATTATCATTGTGAGGTAAAAAAGTTTGGAATAGGGAAGACCATTGACTCTGAAAATCAGAAGACCTTGATTCTATCTATCTGTCTGTCTGTTTATCTTTTGAGACAGAGTTTCACTCTTACCGCCCAGGCTCGCGTGCAATGGTGCGATCTGGGCTCACTGCAACCTTCCTGCCTCCCAGGTTCAAATGATTCTCCTGCCTCAGCCTCCTGAGTAGCTGGGATTATAGGAATCTACAACCACACCCAGATAATTGGTTCTGTTTATAATTATGAAATCATAGGCAAATACTTTCATATCTCTGGGTGTTTGTTTTCATCAGTAAGATGAGTCATTGCAATGTAATTGATGATTAAGACTATTCCAACTCTAAAAGTCTTTAATGTAATCCTTTCTTTATTCAACTTTGTGTTTTATTGGGCCAAAATAATACTAACTTGATTTTCTTTTACAGTTTGGCTGTTAAACTAGTAATTGAGCATAAAAGCTTGATATTACTTACTTGCAACACTGTTTTATGACATTTAATTTAAAAGTGATAGAAAGTTTTTTATATAAATTACCAATTTCTTCCTTCAGGAATCAGTGTCTGTCCCTGAAGGGTCATTAAATCAGCTATGTTCTTCAGAAGAACCAGAACAAGAAGAACTTGATTTTTTGTTTGATGAAGAGATTGAACAAATAGGACGAAAAAACACATTTACTGATTGGTCTGATAATGATTCAGATTATGAAATTGATGACCAAGACTTAAACAAGATTTTGATTGTAACTCAGACACCACCTTACGTGAAAAAACATCCCGGAGGAGATCGAACAGGCAACCACATGTCTCGGGCAAAAATCACATCTGAACTTGCTAAAGTTATCAATGATGGCTTATATTATTATGAACAGGATCTATGGATGGAAGAAGATGAAAACAAACATACAGCCATAAAGGTAATTGTTTCTGGCCAACATCTTTCTACTGATGCTTTGTTTTGATTGTATGTTGCTGTTTATATTTTCTTAAACTTGAGGCTCTATTTTATGAAATGTTGAATATAAATACATTGTATTTAACTTAAAATTCCTGGAAATATACCTGATAATTACTACCTGAGGAATCATTTTATTTTATGAAAGTAACAGCGTGATGAATACTGTAATTACAAAAGAAAATTAGCACTCACTGACTTAAACCCTTGCTTTTTTTTTTTTTTTTTTTTTTAGGTGAAAATACTAAGAACGCCCTTTCTCATATGAAAGAATAAAAACAACTTACTGTGGGGACAGGCTTGATTTATATACTCATTACTTACCTGGCTATCACCACAGCTGTATGAGCCAGTGGCTTTAGAGAGCACTCTTCTTCCCCCTTTCTGTTTTCCCCACTTAGTCTATGGTGAATGATCTAAGATAGTGGAAATGGTTGTGGACAAACTATAAATGACTAAACTGGATGATTATCTCTGTTGGTCTAGTCATTACTGTGGTGCTAGGGTTACTTTATACAACCTTGTTCTAATTTGTTTTATCTTCTTGCATTTCACCTCAGATCCAGGTCTCTATCCTAGTTATTAAGGTAAAATAGAGAACCAGAATAGTTTACTAGGTATCTGCATTCCTTCAATATGAATTATAATGGCACAGATATGGGGATAAAAAGGGATCTTTTTCTGCCATTAAGTTTATCAGAAAAGTCCCAATAGTTAAATATTTGTTTTCAGGATAGGGTATAATAAGGGAAACATTATATGCCAAATAGGAAACTGATCTTGGTTGGAAATAGTTAAAGTTGTAGGAAGAAAAGCTAGCCAACTAGTGGCTGGGTAGAGGGGACTGCCTGTTGATGGGGCTTCATATCATCAGCAAGAAGTGTCCTAGCCTTCTTGGCTCCTCATTTCTTTTCTTCCTGGAATCCCCAGTACTGCTTTTAGCCTTCTGTAACCACTGCCTTCTTGGAGAATCTGCCTCAGGCTATATGATAGCTTGTTATGTGACTTAGAGCCTGAGTAGTTCTCTGCCTATCCTACTGCTATGGGAAAGGAAGTGTGTTTTTATAATGCTTCTCAATTGAAAGTCTTTCCTAGTGTAAGCATTGCTATTTTATTTGTAATACTTAGTTTCTGTAAGTAATACCTATCTTAAATCCTTTTAGAACAGAGATTCTAGTACATTCTACTAATAATCAGTTAAAATTATTCTTCCCCCATTCTCGATCCCTTTACCCAGCTTTGTTTTTCACCATAGCATATATCATTATCTATAATTCTATATATTTTACTTACTTTTATTCTCTTGGAGAAAAACCATGGATGTAATACCAATGACAATAGGATTTTTTGTCTATTTTGTTCATTACTATTGTATCTCTAGTGCTAGAATGGTTTCTGGCACAAATAAATATTCAATTCATGTTTGTTAAAGTGGGTAAATAAATTATGGAGTAAACATTATGCACTAACCAAAGGAACCCAACCATTGTGTGTAATATTGGTTCTGTGGGAAAATGTTTTCAGTCTTCCAAGTAGTAACAAATTTGTAAGCCAACTTGAGAAACATGCCATTTGTAGGTGATTATTTCCTTAAATTATAGACAACAATAATTAAAAGCCATATATTGAGTTCTTGAGGCATGTGCTGATCTTATTCATTAAATATTAACAGAAAGTAATCTTGGCTATATAACTTTAACCATTATAATTGCAAATATATCTTACTTTGACTTGATTCTTACATTCCTGTCATTTAACTCATTCTCTTTGGTTCTGATTCTGTGGTCTACATGTAGTTCCTCATTAGACTTATACTTTTCCTGTGGGTCTGCTTAAAGGGAGAGAAATCAGTCATTTAACATATGCTCATTGAATGCTTACTATGTGCCAGGCACTGCTAGAAACTGGGCACAGAGTGAGAAGATAACAAATAGGGTTTCTACATACCTAGAACCTACAGATAATTGGGGGAACAGACATAAACCCACAAGAAGTACTTAATCACAAATTATAATACATATTCTAAAAGAAAAAAATAGGATGCTGTTTCTTTGAGTAGTCAGGGAAGGCCTCTGAGAAAGTCAGTAATAGTGAAATCTGAAGTGGAAGTAGGACATATAACCAAGCAAAGAGTAGGGAAACGGTATTCCAGGAAGAGGGAACAGTAAATGTTAAGGATATGTGGCAGGAAAGAATTTGGCATATTTGAGGAAATGGAAAAAAGGTCAATTTGCCTGCGGTATTATATAAAAGGTTAATTATAGATGAATAGGCAGGAGTCATATCATTTATGCGCCATGTTAAATAATGTGGAATTTATCTAAAGTTCAAATGCAGTACTTTAGGTTTTGCAAAGGCAGTGTAACATCTAATTTTTATTTTTAATAGATCACTCTGGTTGTTTTGGCACAGAATGGATTGTACAGGGACAAAAATGGGCAGAAGAAATCCAGTTAAGAGGCTATCCATATAGAAGATGAATTGGTAGGCTAAGACAAACAGGTGGCAGAGGAAATACAGAATTGAGAAGACCCATCTCATCTGAGCCTTGAGGAATGATTATATAGCCGTTGTGTAGGAAAGTGTGTTGTTGTGAAAGTCAAAAGCTGGCCCTAAGAGAATAATCAGGTGTGTCAGCAACTTTACAGGTTGAATTAGATAGGAATGAAAAGTATGCCAAATTGATAGGGCAGTTTACTACTGATTTTCGACCTCTGCAATAAGAGTTTTAGTGGATCCAGAAGCTATGTTGAACTGGACCAAAGAGTGAGTAAAGGCTTTATTCTGTTTTTGGCATATATTTATTGCTGAAGACTACTAAAATGAATAGGCTTATAGGTAAGAAAATATCTGCTTAAAATATTTGAAGATATGTTAGGTACATTATTATCAGGATAAAACTATACAGAAGTGAAGTACTGAAACTTACTTTTACCCTTAGGACCCTTTGTAGAAGCTACCCAAACAGGGGTAAAAACCATAAACTCAGGGACCAGCCAAAATTGTGGATTCCCATAGGATTCCTTTTCCCATTTAATTGGTACCCAAAAGTGCACCAAGATCTCACAGATCACCACTGAAGAACTTACTCATGTAACCAAATACCACCTGTTCCCCAAAAATCTATGGGAAAAAAAGGTACCCTAAAGAATACACTTACAGTGAAAGAACTAAACTTGCTTCCTACCTACTCCCCTAAGGGACTCTATAAAGAATATTTTTCTGACTGGCACAGTGACTCACGCCTGTAATCCCAGCACTTTGGGAAGCCAGTGTGGGTGGATCACAAGGTCAGGAGATCGAGATCACCCTGGCCAATATGGTGAAACCCCACCTCTACTAAAAATACAAAAATTAGCTGGGCATGGTGGCGCGTGCCGGTAGTCCCAGCTACTCGGGAGGCTGAAGACAGGAGAATCACTTGAACCCGGGAGGCAGAGGTTGCGGTGAGCAGAGATCACGTCAATGCATTCCAGCCTGGTGACAGAACAAGACTCTGTCTCAAAAAAAAAAAAAAAAAAAAAAGAATGTTTTCTGGTTGTGCTGAGCAGAATAGGGAGGAAAAAATTGGGCTAGAAGTTGTATTCATGAAACCCAAGTTCATACTCTGTGGGTGACTAAAGGAAGCACTAGTTGTAAATTTAATGTGATTGCGGTCTTTTTGTTTCCCAGACACCTAGCATATGAAAATAAAGATATTTTTGTGTGTGTGAAAATATTCACCTTTATTCTAGACCTCCTTTATTCACATTATATTGCAAGGAAAGTTAGCAGCACATAAAGTGAATAATCTAACAAGAAAGTGAGATCTTGCATGTGAGAATGAGCAGAAAGTAACAGGCAGCAGAAACATACCTTAAAATAGTTTTTTTTTTTAAATGGAGTCTCGCTCCATCGCCCAGGCTGGAGTGCAGTGACACCATCTTAGCTCACTGCAACCTCTGCCTGCTAGGTTCAAGTGATTCTCCTGCCTCAGCCTCCCAACTAGCTGGGATTACAGGCGTGTGCCATCACATCCAGCTAAATTTTTATATTTTTTGTAGAGACAGGGTTTCACCATTTTGGCCAGGTTGGTGTCGAACTCCTGACCTCAAGTGATCTGCTTAACTCAGCTTCCCAAAGTGCTGGGATTACAGGTGTGAGCCACCATGACTGGCCCCTTAAAATAGTTTAGATAGTCAGATTATTAAACATGGTAGCTAGGCTTACTATGTTTAAGGAAATAAAAATATGTGTAGAAAAGAAGAAATCCTAAAGAATAACCATAGAACTTCTGGAAACAAAAACAATTATGATTAAAATTAAGAGCTAAATCAATTGAAGGGATTAACAACAGATTAGACAGAATTGGAGAATTAGTCATCTGGAAGACTGTTCACAAGAATTTATTCAGAAATTTCCAGAGTAGCAAAGAAATAGAATATATGAAAAGAGGGTACAGAATGATTTTCTACACAGTCTTTCCTATCGGTTGATAAGTTTGAAATCAAATTTTGTAATTTAACATCTAGTAGATTTTGTTACAAAGCTTTTTATTTTTATTTTTTTAAAAAAAGGTAAGCAAGAAACTTGGAATATAGGATAATGGAGAAGGTGTAAAATACACATTTAGTCAGAGTTCCAGAGTGAAAGGGTAGAGAGAATGGGGCCAAGTCATTATTATAAGAGGCAATTAGGACCTCTGCAGAACTAAGGAGAGTTGTCAGAGTTTAGCCAGAAAAAAAAGACAGATTACTTTCTTCTTTATTTTTTTTGAGACGGAGTCTTGCTCTGTTGCCTAGGCTAGAGTACAGTGGTGCGATCTTGGCTCACTGCAAACTCTGCCTCCCGGGTTCATGCCATTCTTCTGCCTCAGCCTCCCGTGTAGCTGGGACTACAGGCGCCCACCACCACGCCCGGCTAATTTTTTGTATTTTTAGTAGAGATGGGGTTTCACCATGTTAGCCAGGATGGTCTCGATCTCCTGACCTCATGATCCGCCAGTCTCGGCCTCCCAAAGTGCTGGGATTACAGGCGTGAGCCACCGCGCCTGGCCCAAGACAGATTACTTTCAAGAAAGAAGAATCATTAGACAGCTGATAGCTAGTTTCCCAACAGTGATAGCCAATAGACAATAGAATGATAGCTTTAATTTGCGAGGGAAAATAACTATCAACTTATAGTTGTAGGCCTTGCAAAAATATCTTTCAGTAAGAGTGTAAAATATGAGAAATTGCCACCAGCAGAGCCTCATGAAAGAAAGTCCCAAAGGGTAGAATAAAAGTGATTTTACATGTCAGAAACACAGAAAGGACTGCAGAGCAAAACAAGTAATAAATACATGAATAAACCTAAGTGAATATTAACTGTGTAAAGCAGTTATGGTGTCTGATAGATTTACTATAACATTAACACAAACTGGGAGAGAGAGCAGCAAATGAATCTAGTATTTAAATGTAACTTCATATCTGGAAAAAAGGTACTGATTAAAGTTATTAAAGTTTGCAAATTGCAGTTTGAAGGATACCCATTTAATTAACAAGGTGAACTAAGTTCATATGGAAATTTCAGGAATCCATAGTAGTCAAAACACTCTTAAAAAATAACAAAATTATGGCCGGGTGCGGTGGCTCACGTCTGTAATCCCAGCACTTCAGGAGGCCGAGGTGGGTGGATTACCTGAGGTCAGGAGTTGGAGACCAGCCTGACCAACATGGTGAAACCCTGTCTCTACTAAAATTACAAAATCAGCCGGGCATGGTGGTGCATGCCTATAATCCCAGCTACTTGGGAGGCTGAGACAGGGGAATTGCTTGAACCTGGGAGGTGGAGGTTGCAGTGAGCCGAAATTGCGCCATTGCACTCCATCCTGGGCAACAAGAGTGAAAATTCTGTCTCAAAACAAAAAACAAAAACAAAATTGAAGGACTCATTTTACGATTTCAAAACTTACTACAAAGCTGCAGTAATCAAGATAGTGGTACTATCATAAGGATGAACATATAGATCAATGGAATAAAATTGAGAGCCCAGAAATAAACATGTCTATTTTCAACTAACTTTTCAACAAATGTGCCTAGACCATTCAGTATGGAAAGAATAGTTGTTTCAACAACTGGGACTCTGTCAACTTGATACCTACATACAAAAGAAGGAAGTTGGGTCCCTCCTTATCTTACATCACGTATCAAAATTAACTTGAAATGAATTAAATTCATAAATTTAAGAGGAAAAAGGATAAAACTCTTAGGATAAGATGTGTAAAATCTTCATGACCTTGGATCTGACAGTGGTTTTTCATATGATACTAATAGCACAAGCGACAAATGATAAAAACAGGTAAGTTGGACACCATCAAAATTTAAAAATTTTGAATCTCAAAGGATACCATACAGAGAGTGAAAAGCCAGTACAGATGTTCCTCAAATTATGTTGGGGTTACATCCTTATAAACTCATCATAAATTGAAAATATACTGTTAAACTGAAATGTATTTAGTACACCTAACCTACCACACATCATAGCTTAGCCTAGTCTACCTTAAACCTGCTCAGAGCACTTATGTTAGCCTTAGTTGGGCAAAATCATTTAAACACAAGGCATATTTTATAATAAAGTATTAATATCTTATATAATGTATTGATTACTATACTGAAAGTGAAAAACAGAATGGCTCACTGCTGCTGCCCTGCATTGCAAGAAAGTATACCACATATTGCTGGCCTGGGAGAATTAAAAAATTTGAAGTACAGTTTCTTCTTCTAAGTGCCTCTTGCTTTCACAACATTGTAAAGGCAAAATTGTAAGTCAAACTATCATAAGCCTGGGGCTATTTGTACAAAAAACCACAATACAATTTACATTTGCACCCTAATACATGAAATAGTTATAAATCTGACAAAATATGTACAGGATCTATATGAGGATTACTACAAAACCCTGATGAAAGAAATAAAGGGGCCAGGTGCGGTGGTTCACGCCTGTAATCCCAGCACTGGGAGGCCGAGGCGGGCAGGCGGATCACGAGGTCAGGAGATTGAGACCACCCTGGCTAACACGGTAAAACCCCGTCTCTACTAAAATACAAAAAAACTAGCTGGGCGTGGTTGTGGCGCCTGTAGTCCCAGCTACTCGGGAGGCTGAGGCAGGAGAATCGCGTGAACCTGGGAGGCGGGGCTTGCAGTGAGCCAAGATCGCACCACTGCACTGCACTCCAGCCTGGGTGACAGAGCGAGACTCCGTCTCAAAAAAAAAAAAGCCAGGTGTGGTGGCGCGTGCCTATAGTCCCAGCTACTCGAGAGGCTGAGGCAGGAGAACTGATTGAACCCAGAAGGCGGAGGGTGCAGTGAGCCGAGGTCACACACTCCAGCCTTGGCCACAGAGCAAGACTCCGTCTCTGAAAAAAAAAAAAAAAAAAAAGGAATAGGTAAATTGAGAAATATTCCATGTTCATATTGTAGATAGGAAGACTCAATAATGTGTCAATTCTTTCCAACATAACTATAGATTCTGTGCAGTTTATGGTCTTGTTAAATTGAGATGCATTTAGTATACCCAATCAAAATCTCAGCAAATGATTTTGTGGATATCTCCAGAGGCAAAAAAACACCTAAAAAACCCAGAATAGCTAATACAACATTGAAAATTGGAAGACTGATACTACCTGACTTCAAGATTTACTGTAAAGCTACAGTAATGAAGACAATACAGTATTGGTGAAAGAATAGACAACTAAATCAATAGAACAGAATGGAAAGTGCAGAAATAGACCCACACAGATGCAGTCAACTGATGTTTGACAAAGGAGCAAAGGCAATACAATAGAGAAAAGTCTTTTCAACAAATAGTGCTAGAAGAGCTGAGCATTCATGTGAAAAAACATGAATCTTCACCCTTCAGAAAGGGGGGAGAAAGTGGAAGGACCGTAGTCCAAAATGTAAAAGACAAAAACCGTAAAAGTCCTAGAAGATGATCTAAGAGAAAATCTAGATGACCTTGGGCTTATGACTTTTTAGATACAACACCAAACAATCCATGAAAGAAATAAGCTAGAATTCTTCAAAATTAAAAACTTCTGCCCAGTGAAAGATACTGTCAAGAGAATGAGGAAGGCCAGGTGCAGTGAGTGGCTCATGCCTATAGTCTCAGTACTTTGGGAGGCTGAAGTGGGAGGATTGCTTGAGACCAGGAGTTTGAGACCAGCCTGGGCAACATAGTGAGACTGTCTCTACAAAAAAATTTTTTTTAAAAAAGGAGAGAAGCCATTGACTGCTAGAAAATATTTGCAAATGACAAATCTGATAGAGGGCTATTATCCAAAATATACAAATAACTATTAAAACTGAGAAAACAGAACCCAATTTAAAAATGGTTCACGAAAAAATGGTTGATCAGTTTATTGAAGAAAAAAAGAAAAAACTATTGAAAGAACTGAGCTGACACTTCACCAAAGAAGATAAACAGCAAATGCATATGAAAAGATGCTCGATATCAAATATTAGGGAGCTGCAAGTAAAAACAACAATGGGATGCTACTGTAGACTCATTAGGAGCCCCAAAATCCAAAACAATAACACCAAATGCTTGCAGGGATGGGGAGCATTAGGAAATCTCATTCACTCCTGGTGGCAATGCAAAACAGTACAGCCTCTTTGGAAGGTAGTTTGACAATTTTATACAAAACTGAACTAAACATACTCTTACCAAAGGATCTAGCAAATTTACTCAAATGAGTTGA